CTTTTTCCCTCTCAAGAGCGGATTTCCGTTCCCAACCAGTTCTCAATGATATATAGTCATTTTTGGCGGTTTCCGGGGAATAGCTCGCTGATCGGCATGGAGAGAAACCTCCGAAATTCTGTCTCCCTTCCGTTCTCCGGAAAGAATGAGAGAAAAATCGAAAAAGTCAACGCTCAAAAGGATCAGAGGGACTCACGTTTTCACTTTAGCTATTCGCAGTGGCGGGAGCGCTAGTTTCCTTTGTGCACCTCAGACCCGGCCACGGTACCGCTTGTTCGTGACGATATAGTAATATTTGATGCTCGTTTGATTATGAGGAAACTCAAAATGCCTTGCCGAATATCGACGGGGATAATCTTACCATTTTTTCCGTTGTTGTGACGTAAAACCTGAACACGCAGAATTCCTTTCCAGCCGCACAGACACTCTCAGTTAGACAGACTGCTGCATGCTCCACCAACGGCCAGCGGCCTGTCTCCTCGAGGTCTCGAATATAGTTATTGACAAATCAGCGTCTCCAATAGTAATCCTTCGCTCAGACGACGATCATCTCCATCGAAAATTTCAAAACTCACTTGATCAGCATCGCCCCTCGGTGTCGTCGAGTCGATTGATTCTCCACCCGGAAGGAATCGACTTTCGTGAATTGATCGATGCTGAATTCCTGCGCAAGCTCGTTCGTAGCCTCGACGGGAAAGAAACGTGTTTTCCGCGAATGACGGTAAAGAGCATCTGCGTTATTACGGTATCACGAGACCAACGCCTATGTCTCGTAACCCTTCCCGAGTCTTATACGCAAACTAGTCTGAAGCTCTGGCTATATTGAGAGACTGAATTGTTCTGGTTCTCCTCTGTGTGGACACCGAGATCTGCTAGGAAAGCTTTGCGGACTATCATCTCAGAAAGGAGCGAGGATTCTCATTTGAATTTTCGACTCGTCGTTAGGGGAAAATATTTGGTTCCTTGAACGAGGCATAATACCGTTCATATATAACGAGGCATATACGTTCATTGATTATGAAACTGAGGGATCCCGCGCCTTCATATAGCGCCCCTTTAGCCTGAGCAGAACACATTGCGGTGGAGTTTCTTCCTGTTTGAGCTGAGCTCGAGAAGCGCATTCGCACTGACGTCTGTTTGAATGGCTCCTGATGCAAAGAAGACGCCAAATAGCGGATTCGATTTCTTCTCCGGGGGCGAAAGAACACGGACGATCTGGTACCAAATCTCTGATCTCGGACGTGTTCTCAATCCCTTAGGATCTTTGGGTATATGTAATATCGTCATTACTGATTCTAGCTGAGCGACGGACATCTTTATTACTGATTGCGATACCTCCTTTGTATTATCATCGACCAACTCCGCGAGCATCGACTGCCGCCACTTCCCATACTGTGGGAGGACTGAGGTCTTCATCACTCCTACGAAAACTCGCTTGATCCACCGTCGGCTCTAGAGGCCTGACCTGGGTAGCGTGGAGGTTTCTTAAATCGATGAGCATTTCGATAAGGTGGCAGAACGATTTTCATGAGGTCAGTCCCTTCCGCGGAGAGTACTCATCGGGAAACCGGTCCAGAGGATGCGGATTTTCTTACATCATGGAACAAGAGATGACCCCGATCGACCGACGATCTTGAAAAGCTTCAGAGTTTGAGCGGAAGGAGACACTCTCCTGTTCGCCACAGCTGCGTATTATCATGCGATCTCTCCTCAAGATGACTGCAAGTTCGGTGCTCTGATTCTTAGAACTTGACGCGGGAGGATAGGGGTCTAATCTATTCTCGTCACACGGTACCACGGTACATTATTCCACCGAAACACTCCGAATCTGGTGTCGAAAATTGGGGATTCCCGGCGCGAGCAAAGCGTCTTAACCTCATCTGGCTAATTTTGTGGAGGAGCTCGAAATCGCAAACTATTCCGAGCCTCTCACAGTCCACACTGGGAGTTGTGGGAGGTTACTTTCCCATCTTCACATTCTAGAGTCGCGAGGTGAACGATTGATGCTAAGCGTCGAGCTCGATAGATCGTTTCATCCGTGGAGTCGCCTCCTTGGGCTGAACTCTCGCAAATACGCGACTGAGTGAGCTATAAGCCAAATTCAACCTCCGCGATCGGGGGCTCGACGGCTCAGGGCTGCTCAGCTATTGTACTCGGATCGGTGGAGGCGGCGGCCGAGACGGGGGCCGGGGTGGGGGCCGCGGCGGCGGCGGCGCCGGTGCCCTCGGTGTTCTCGGTGGTTTTGAAGGCTTCGGAGGTCTTGGCGGTTTCGGCGTTCTGTGCTGAGTTTGTCCCAAATTTTGTGCTCGATTCGCATTCGAGGACGCCGGAGGCATCTGTCTCGGATTCGGCGATCTCGATGGCGATGCTCGCATATTGGGTCTTCTCGATGACGATGCCTGCGAATTTGATCGCCTCGGAGTCGATGACTGTGAGTCGGGTCCTCTGTTCGGCCGCGATCGCGAATTCGGTGGTCTCGATTGCTGATCCGAATCTTCAGCGGGCAACGATCGAGAATTCGGTCTGTTCGGCCGCGATCGCGAATTCGGTGGTCTCGATTGCTGATCCGAATCTCCAGCGGGCAACGATCGAGAATTCGGTCTGTTTTCCCGGCGCGACTGCGAGTCGGATCCTCTTGGCGGATGCCGCGAGTCGCTGCCCCCCCGCGGGGACTGTGAGTTGGGTCCTCCCTGCGACGGAGCGGGCGAATCCATACCTTCTTGATGTGATAACTGCGAATCCTGAGGATTCCTCGATGCCCGTCGTGAATTTTGACTTTTCCCAGACGGGAATCGCGGATCTGCTTCGTCTTGAGGTGATCCCTGTCGCTCCTGATCGTTCTGCTGCCGGAGTCTCGAAAGTGCCCCCCCGGGCGCCATTGGGTCTTGTGAAGGCGCTTGCGGAGGTGTCTGAGGAGGAACGGGCGGGGGAATTGGTGGGGGTATTTGAGGAGGGACCATTCCTAAACCTAATCCGAATAAGGGTGGAACCAAAGGAAATCCCCCATTCAACGGTGGCGGTATCGGCGGTGGAAGGCCAACGTCTCCGGTTCCGAATCCCAAGTCGGGCCCCTGACCGACATTTGAGTATCCGGAATAGCCCCCACCTGATCCCCCGCTCGCTCCCCCACCTGATCCCCCGCTAGAGCCCCCGTTCGAATGCTGATTAGAATTCACATCCGATTCTGTTCTTTCTCGATCCCGATCCCGGTCCCGATCACGGTCCCGATCACGGTCCCGATCACGGTCCCGATCACGGTCCCGATCATGGTCCCGATCATGGTCCCGATCACGCTCCCGATCCCAATCACGGTCCTGGCCTCGATCCGGTCCAGCTTGCGGTTGTTCTGCAAGAATGAAAGGATCATGAAGAGGGACCCCCGATCCGCGATTTCGTCATGTGTTGAATACTCCGTCCCCACAACAAATCTCCAAGAGCGATAGGTACTCGTTTACAACCATCTGATCATAGGGAAGCTAAGCGAGGGATTGATGAGGGAACGTCTTCTGCGAAAATGACGCAGATCTACTCTGAAGACTCACCGCTGTCGCCATCATCCGCATTCAGCTGCTCCGGTTCGATGAAAACCGCTCTCCTATCCTCGTTGTGACTCCTGCCGCTGGCGATGTTGATCGATGCTACCGTCAACGTCACAGCAAAAATTAAAATCGAGCCGGGAACTCTCATCCCTGCGAACGAAATTTCTCCATCCGTCAACTCATGGCTCAAGTCAGACTGAAGTGAGGCTGGGGCCCCGAGAGGCTCGTTCAGTCTAACGTAGATTTTGTGGAATCATGAGCAGCATCATCCGCGGAAACTTGCATCTCCCTGTGGATAGTTCTATTGTATCTCTCTTGTACATATCCCCACCCTATCTCAGCAACCTCCTGCGATTGATCGTCTGGTCTTGCTCGCTGATCGAGTGATCTCCCGGATCGCCCAGTCCTTCTCCTGTTCGCCACGTCTCAATGCTGCGACTACAGGTCTCCACAGGGTTTCTCGGAGTTTCGCAATCTGTTCCAGGAGGACTCCGACCGATAGTGCGCATTCCATCCGATAGCTGGCGATCACGGCCAGGTGACCCCAGTGGAGAATTTGAAAATCTAAATCGTCTGAATTCCTCCGCGTGTACCTCACTGATGAGGAATTCCATCCCCGAGGCTCCGATTGACGTCAGACCTAGACTCATGTCTACAAAGACTCACAAAGCGCTGCCAGACTCTCACAAGTCCTCTCTTCTTGGTTCGTCCCGCCGAGAAACTCGTTCACGCAGAAGGCACTCCCTCTGGTCAGACACTCCGAGAAGGACTACCACGAGCTACTCACGGCCGTCTTATTATTATCGCTCTGCAACTTCGTCAGGTGGGCGACGACGAACATCATGTAATTTCGGTTCTCGAAAAGCGATAGATCGTGAACTCACTCGATCAGCATCTCGCTCCGCTCGTGAGTGTAGGCCCTCAGAATATTGTCGTTTACGCACTGTCTCCGAAAAACTTTAAGCCTAGGCTGTCTGCATCTTCGCCGGGCGCTCAACGTGTTTACACGAATGACGTCGGAAGCATCTGTCCCATTCCGGCATCACGAGATCAGTGCTCATGTCGTATCTAAAACTCTGACCGAGTCTTATTGGGAGCGGACAAAGGCTCGAAACACCATGGACAAGCCGAAAAGCCCCGGAACCCGGACCTGGGAGGTCTCTTCTTCGTTTCGGTTCCTTCACGGCTCGGTTTACATAGAATGGCTGCACGTAGCGTATGCCGAATGGAGCGCACAAGATATTGTGCTCCCTAGGATTCATTCTATAGCGGGGAAATGGCGCGACGTTTCTCTGAGAGGCGAATGCCTCATGCTCTCATGAAACTTCATTTCTCTCCTAATTCGGATGTGGGAACCATCCGCCAGGCTGTTTAAATCAATCGAGCGACCGGAGAGAGAAACCGCGGGTTCACGCCGTCTGACGTTTCTTTTTCACAAGAACAAACACTCGCTTTTATGCATCATGAAGTTGAGGATCCCGGGAGCATTCTCTCGAGCTCGGTGTCACCAAAGTCAGTTTCTTCAATGCCGGCTTCATGAAGATCTTTTCGGCGGAGGACGGATGTTTGATAAAAGACAACTCCGATAGACGGTCTATCTCGATAGAGTCGCTCCACTTCGGCTGGATCGACGTGCGAAACGTCGTGCCCGTTCAATTGCAAGAGAACATCCCCGTAAAAAATCATTGTATGTCCGTCGGAAGGCGTCACGTCGGGATGAACGAAGATCACCACGTGGAAACCGATGAAATCCCTCGCCTCCTGATTCCAGAGTTTCAAAATTCGAGTTTGGAAGTATTTGCTCCGAGGCGAGCTCAGAGTCACGTCGGCCTGCGGACTCCGCGTCACGTTTTCGAAAGCCCTGACACGATCGGTATACGCGTGTCGGAAGATGTTGTTTCTCAAAACTTGACATTTGATCGTTCCCTTCGTCTTCTTCATGCGACTTCTGAGAATCGCTGATATCTGTTCCATGCTCGAGCCGATCAGAGAGGATTTCTCGATCGAAACCATGATATCGCCTGCGCATAAATGGGTCAGTTAAATTGCTCACTCAGCATGCGGAATAGTCGAGCCCAGAGGAACTATTAACTCACCGTAATTGGCCTCATCGATATTCTGTTCGGCACCGGAGTCCGACTTAGCGTAGACCACGGGGTACGTTAGTTTGCCTTCGCCTTGAACGAGACGTAGCTTAATATTTGCAGTTTTGCAACAAAATAGCTTCGTCCGGTATGTGAAGGTTGCTTTAACGAGCTGAACCTGCGCTTCTCTCTGAACCGCGGTTTCTTGCATGGTCATCCCGATCAGCGTTTCCGCATCGTCTTGGGCCTGAATAGAATGGAATGACAGGAATTTCAATGTCTCCCTTCAAGGCCGAAAATTCGCCAGTCTCACCTTGTAGTAGTCTAGTTTCCGGTCCGGTGGCGTTAAGGGAACTAAGAACTTCTCGCTCATTGGGAACGTCCCGCTCTGACGATCGGTGAATCGACGGAACTTTGGATGGGAGAAAGTCGTCAGTGGATAGTGCAGGGACTCCTCAGTCTTATCTCGGAGTTCCGATAGGTTGTACGTTCCGACAGAAACCCTGTTCATTACAAGCTGCGTCACCGGAGTCTTGAGGTCTTTCGTGAGATTCCGATCGATTTCACTGAAGGAAATGATGTACAGCTGGAAATGGAATCGCGACAGTAATGTCAGAGTCTGTGACGATGATTGCTTCCATGAATGCCAGATCGAGAACAGGCGCCACCTTCAGAGACGGCGGAGGCTCACACCTTCGTTCGGAGATCTCTCACAGGTCCGCCATCCTTGAGCGTGTGAACTGGTCTCAAGGATTCTATAGCGCCGTGAACCGCAGTCGGCTCCAATAGATCACTGTATATTTTCGTGCCCAATCTGCCCATGGGATTTTTCTTCAGAAGATCGTAGACATATTCCTTGATGTCTGGCGTTGCCGAATGAGGTGATTCTGAGGCTTTCGGCCACTTGAGCTCCTCGTTGCAAACACTCTCGATAACGGCGGCAGAATTGGAACCCCTGAAGGGTAATCGGCCAGTCGTCATTTTATAGATTGAAATTCCTAACGACCACCAATCGATCGCTCTTCCCCAACTTTTCTTGTTAAGAACTTCGGGAGCCGTGTACGGAATCGCGCTGACTGTCTCTCGATCCTTCAGCTCGTTCGCGGTACGTTTGAAGAAGCCCGCTAGAATTCTCTCGAAAGCGAAATGTCCCCGGCAGACCCTCGCGCTGTCGAAATCGACGATCTTGAGCTTCCCGAAGCGATCGATGACGAAATTCGATGGTCGTATGTCTCGGTGGATGAACCCTCGTAGATGGATGTGCTCGATACCGAGGGTGGCCTGCAGTGCGATCATGAGAGCGTCTCCGGCGCTTAGGTATCCCAAATGGTCGATTAGTTGCAGGACGTCGACTTCACCGTCTCCCACATCCATCAATGTTATGTCGACGTCAGGATCGGCTCGGAAGGAGCAAAATATCCGACAGACAAGGAAGTCGTGCGTGAGAGATCCGAGCATCTTGTCAACGAAACTCATGCACGAATCATTCGTGATCCGCGATTTTCTCATTGTTCCACTCGCCTCAGCCTTCGAGCCCGCGCTGACGCAGTTGCTGGCATCGTCTCGATCAAATTTATTCGTGGGGGATATTTTCATGGCAAAAGGGTGTCCAGTCCCCTTGTGAGTGACAAGATAGACTTCACTGAAGTTCCCGGCCGAGATCCGACAAACTTGTTCGAAATCGCTGAGCTTCGGAATGTAATCCAGGAACGATGTTCTCGTCCGTTTCGCATCGGCGACCTTGGCCTCTTCGACAAAACTGTTTCCCACGACAGGCCAGTTTATGACTTTCGCGTTGCATTTTCTCTCGAGCAGATTACAGACCTCCGCAACAGCCGTGCATAATTGTAGAATCAATTTCGCGAATTTCAGGCAAATGTAGCCTCTGTCGACAGTCAGGAGTGAGAAGAGCTGGCATAAATTCTCGCAGTCGTCAAAAATGTCAGTATGCGATACGTTCTGCAAAGCATCAAGAATAGCCATTCATTCATGCAACCCGCTCGGCGTAACCCCGCACGATGAAAATCGAATATGCGGCGTCCCTACGATTATATAGGTGCTTCGAATAGGAATCGACATCACACCTGTTTCTCTATTTTGCTTATGATCTCCGCTGTCGTCAGGTGGACCTGGAGATTGACGAATTGTAGAGCTGGGTCGTTTTGAAGTGATATCTGGGCGCTCCTCTTACTGATAACTTGGAGGAGGTTTCGGCAAGCTTCCACCTTCTCAGGATATGCTGGAGGTAACATTCTCGTAAACTCACGATTCTTAGACGACGCAAAGGAGGACATTCTATATCCCTCTGTGCTCACCGTTGATGATGAAGGCAAAAGCTGTTTTCCTCACAGCTTTCTCCTCCGGAATCATTAATGTTGACGATGGACGGGCTTTTGCCTCCGGGTCATTGGATGACTATCTGAATGGTTCGCACTTTACAGATAACGAAATGATATCAGATTAATGAAGGATCGAAAGAAGAACTCCACACGATTCCGATCGAGGAAACCGTGGTTCTCAATGGAAAATTCGTCGACGACGAAGCGCCGCGTCGGGTGTGCCCGGTACATACGCTGCGATAATGTTGCGTTATTATCGAGATAAGCATCAGCATCATCCGCATCCGACGTGGTGCTTCGAGCCGCGTGTCTCGCAAGCGGCGATCGAGCGGGGAGTACATAGCCTATGGCTGGGCGTACACAAGGCCGATCGAGTTATTCCCTAGGATTTACATCCATTCTTGGGAAAGGCTGTCTGTGAAGATTTTCGGAAGAATGATCATGGGCATCATGGGTCAAGGGTAATCTTTTGGATGTATTTCGTTCCCGACGGCTGTTTTGTGTAAGGGTGAAAAGGCTCCCCGGTAGTTCGACCCTGAAGGAGTTCGAGGGGCTTTCGAAAACCATTCTTCCATCACCACGGATGATTGATAGAAAACCGACCGCGACCCTACCCGACGTGGCAGAAGTATGCTCCGGGTTCCACCGAGTATAGGTGGGAATGAACCTCTTTCCCTGGTCGCCAGCGTAGTGGTACCTATACCGTACAGTTCTCCCGCATACAACGGGATAGCTGCCGACGCGGTCCGTTCGGGGGATAAGCTGAGAAGAGTCTCGTGTGTCCATTCCAGCAGCTTCCATTTTTGGATTAACGCTGGATGCGCAACAATGATTCTATCAGGTGACAAGCCTGAAAAGCGGCGACATCGAACAACGTTCAAATCTCGATGTGTTTGATCCTTTCATTCATGTTCATAGCTCAGATTTCCTGAATCGATCCGGTTGACGTAATCGGATTCCCAGATCCCAGTCGGTGATCCTCACGAAACGGGGGCTGGGACCATGAGTCATGTGTCTCTGGGCCTTGGTAACGCGTACCCTCCAACGTAGATCGTTGCTGTGCTTCGTTCTATCTCGCTAGAGCAGAAACAGAGGTCCTCGGATTCCATCAATGATTTATTTTCGATTCCATAAATACACCCCTGTGGATTCGCGCCGCTCCCAAGGATGAGCTCGCCCTCCGACATGTGCGAAAATTACGGCAGATACGCGGTGTCCGTGGACCTCGGAGCGCAAATCTTCTTCTATGAGGTAGATGTGATTTCTACATATCTCACAAGCGGTCACTTTTCTCCTTGAGCAAAATTTAAATAGTTTCGAGCCCCACGCATGAGGCTCGCTCTCGCCTCGACGGCGCTTTGGACATTCCACGTATCTCGAGAAATTGCAGCGACAAAATGTTCCGGCCGATGCGGGATGACCGCACTTGATCACGATCGAGATCTGTAGCTCAGCCGCTCGATCTTTAGACTGAGGAATCTTCTGGCTGTTTCAAAGCTGTGTTAATCTCCTCTATGTCGTCGTGTCTCGATGCCGATTCTGGGACGTTGGTTGTCGTCACGGTCCTATATCGACGTTTACTCCTCCTGACTAGGAACAAAGCAATTATTGCTACCAGGGCCAGGATGACTACACCGCCTAAAGCTCCGATAATTATCTGAGGTCGCTTGGAGCTGCCCGATGCACGATCTGCGGAAGGGAAATTTCCCGTGAGAGTATCTGATGACGTCCGACAAGACGACGAGTCGGATTGCGAACAATTATTGCACTGGACTAGACATTGGAAGGCAAGCCGACAAGTTCGTAACGCAAGCGATGGAAATCACGCCCGGGATGAACTCACCATCCCTGGCAATTTCCTTAAATGGACTCAGAGACGCTACAGTTGAGACCGACGGAGCCGCGGGTTCAGTCGTGATCGTACCGATGCAGTCACGCTCATCCGATTCATCTTTGCAATTTGCCTGCTCGTCGCACTTCAGGACTCGAGGGATGCACAAGCTGTCAGATTCACACTTGAAATTTCCTTCGCCTTCGGGTGTTCGGTTCGGGAGCAAGCACGTGCCGTCGGCATCTATTTCAAGAGGTATTTCAGACTGTCAGGCTCATCGCGACGCTCAAGAGATCTTGGAACGCTTCGAATTGCATATTTCGGCCTCACCGGCAAAAGCCACGGTTGAAACCGTGATTGTTACACTGTCATTCCTTTCGAAAGGGACCGACCGGGAGTAGTAAAGAGTATTTTCCGTTTCATTGGAGAACAGGTAGCGGCCTAATGTTTTGATATCCGGACCGCCGCAGAGACGCTGTTCTGCGATGTCGTTATGGGTCGTGCCCTCCAGACCATCCAGCTGAGAAGAAGTTTCGGTTATCCATCACGAACATGCCGACGGATCTATGAGCGAGGCCTGGCGGTGCATAGCAATTCTGCGGTATGTTCTTAGAGAACTCACCTTCAAGAAATGTCTCAAACAGAATTTCCCATCTCCTGCCGCGGTCAAATCAAAAGCGGAAACTGCCGCCAGCAGCCGAGCATTTCCTTTGGGGCGTAAAGTCAGCACGGTCCGGCAGGAAGGCGGGCTGAAATCTCCGTCCCGCTTCAAGCGAATCGTTATCGAGTCTTCGACTTCCAAATTGACGAGGGCATTGCATTTATCTTCAAGGTAAACTGGAAGAACACATACTCGTAAGAGTGAGTTGAGGAGACCATCTCATGAGGGGAATTCATCGAACCACGGCGCCCCAAGAGAATATTTGCGCTCGGATCCATCCCCTCCTCCGTCCCGTAAATTATCCCGCGTGTCTCTCCCGACTTCATTCGCCGGTCTCGCGGCAGAATGAGGCTTTTTCGTCGTGAAAATCCCTCGCCACCGCCGCGGGGGACTCGGTGTCAGTCGTGGCTGCAGCCTTTGTCCCGGTCGACTCTATTTTTTCCAATCACGGAGAAGTTTCTCCAACGAGCATGCCGGTATACGAATCCTCGGGACGTCCATGGAAATCTTCGTGGCTCTCTCACTGAAGATTCCATTGTTCTCTCTTCATTGTTCATCCCGAAACACCGTTTCCATCGCTGGTCTTATCATCTAAGGACGGGAATGATCGACTCTTCATCGGGACATTGCTTCCCACTGCTCGCTGAATGAGTGCCTCTTGAGTCCAAGGGTTCTCTGGCTCCTTTCATATTGATCGGTGACCGGAGCTTGTCACGGGCAGAGTTGCAATGTTTGGTATGCTGATTCTTTTGCTACAGCACTTCAATCGACATGGGAACTTTGAGAAGACTCTATCTTCTCGAAACAATATCTCCGTGGGATCTAATATACCGGCTTGTCCCGGGCTTCAAGTGTTTACTCCGAATATGGGTCGAAGCTCGCATATTCCTTAATACGCCCCGCGACTCGGATGTCTCAGAAGGAGGGAGGAATAATATGCCGTTCCCTTGCCAGCGGACGAACAGGTCCTTACTGAGTGTCGGAACGAAATTCTGTGTTTCGCGATCAACACGAGGGTCTTGCGAGACGGAGTCCGAGATTATCCGTTGTGGATCCACACGTCAGAAAACGCGGACCAAGTGGCGAGATAAGCCGATAAGACTCGTCGGATTATCCGATCCTAGACCGAGAACTCCCAATAAGATACTTGGAACAACATTTGGACTCGATCAATATTTGAGTATGTGAAAAAACGGAAAGTCTGGCGATTGCTCTTCTTCTCGAGAGATTCCTCAAGTCGGAAAGATGTCCATTCGGCAATGGCATGACTAGTCTTTATAGACTGATAGCACCGGATCGGCCGACTCCCGACAGACCGTTCCCTGATGGTAAGGAAACGCTGATTCCGCGGAATCTCCCGACTATCCAAGAATAGATAATTTTTCAACAAGGACCACTCGACTCGAAATTCTGAGCGAATGCAGTGCCTCCGTGTTCGGCGTCCCAACTTGTCTAAACAGCGGAATTATCGACATGCTTCCCGATTCTCCCGAATTCGAGAGGTGAAGATGAGAAATTCCCGAGTATTCCGGGAATGGGGTTGCACCAGAGACGCGAACTCACCGGTTGTATCCTGCGCAGACACAGCTAACAAGCCTGATATGGTCACGAAAAAAAGCTTCCCCAACATGCTCCCGTCAGAGTGGTACAACACTGGTCGATGAATGCTTCGAATGCGCGGGACGAGACGCTGGGCCTGTAGACGACACGCCTTCTAAGTGAATGCCAAGATATCGGTTCGAGTGACTCATTTGGCTAAGCCGGGGACCGGCAGAAAGTCCCGGGACTCTTGAAAGAATAGATAGCGTTTCGAATCAAAGTGCTGTGGCTGTGAGCATTTCTGAACCTTGACATGAAGCTCAAAATATTCGGTAGAATATTCCGGGAGCCCATGGAGCTGCCTCCATGGCTTCGCGGAATGAAGGTTTTCCATTCGACGTTGACGCCGAGTCGGTTCTGAGGTGAGAGCGCAGATGCACAATTAGGATAAGAAGGACTCTAAGCGCAGTTGTGTGGGTGAGGAAGGTTCGTCAGGTGATCGGAGAGCATAACCGATGGGTTTCAAGCGTCTCTGATCGGACCGCTCCCAGGTGAAGAATCATGGATCGATTAGGCAGTGTTGATGCCGCACGAGTACGTAGGATTCCCAGCGATCACTACTCATGCGGAAGCTCCTGGGGAAAGGCACCGCCTCGTCCATGAGCTTTCACCTCGAGGAAACCGATGGCGGTCGAGCACAAGAGCGATATTCGATATTCACCCGTGTGGATCCTAATCCTACGCATGGATTTTTGGAATTCAAGCCCGTGCCGCTGAGCTTACAATAAGGACGAGGCTTCCTTCCGTTATCAGAGTACTTCTGAACTCACAATGCTGGGGATGCTGATTCTTTTGCGACTGCACTTCGATTGACATGAGAACTCCTCCTCCCATCCTCATCGTTGCGTGAAATCGCGAGAAGAAGCTGCGGCGAAGTAGGATTGGTCAAGTTCTCGGAGGGCCCTTCCTGAACAGAAGACGATTTTTGACCGAGCAAGGTGCATCTGTCATTCCTCGTGACCTGCATTTAATTTTGTGCACTCTCACGATTCGATCGTACTTCACGGAGCAAGAACGGCCGCTTGACTCTCCAAAGTTTTGACCGATATCTGAAGATCCGATGTGCGCATAGAGATTCCGAACGATGACCTGACGATTGACCATTTTATGACGTTGTTTAGATCGAGTACAATCAGCATTACCGCGAAAGCGGAACAGTCACCCGCATCCGGACTCCTTATTCATCATATCCACGCGGAGGGAAGTCGTATATATAGCCACCATCTCGGGCGGTTCCTATTTCCCTGAACCTAATTATTGGGCGCAGACCAACAGCAAAAGACAATGAACTGGCTTGAAAGAGATTCTGAGTCACCGCGATGATGAATCGAGAAGAATGCTTGGAAGTAAGCTCGCGTTCCCCAGATGCACTCCGTGGGAGACATCATCACGAATGAGATGACCTGGCGGAGTCATCTACACAGCGGTTCTCAACCGAGGTTCCGGGGGAAAATTTTCAGGGTTCAGCCTGGAAGCTTCCCCTTGGAAGAGCAATGCCGTAGGTACGATCTTGAGATTTTATTAGTTCGTCGACTCTGTTATCTCGTAGTATTTTTAATGAACAGGTTTGAGTGACAGTGTTCAAGTCTGAGGTTCTGAGTGAATTCGATTCTAGCGGACTAAGTCCCTCACAACATTAGGTAATTCGATTATGGGCTGTTCTTCACATATGAAGAGGTACACTGAGTCATTAGATCATCAAGCGTCCTCTATCCTCTCCAATTCCATGGAGCTATCACGAGTAGTCTGCCTCTGGGCACGAGACACGGGGCAGTCCTCGCTACACGACGTACGGGCTCTAAATAGGGGAAGAATCGTGTTTGCGAAGAATTTGCCATCCAATGACCGTCTACATTTGATGCTGCTGAACGGAAGATATGTACTTTTACAGTATTCCGCGGAGCATCCGACCTACTCGAATGCATTCTGTCGCCAACGGATTCCATTGAGATCTGACGAACCGAGTTCGAGCAAAGTCGAACTCCGGCTCGCCCCCGGCCCGGAAATCTCTCGATGTATGCAGATTTTCGTCACGATGCACGCCTTACATGATGCAATAATTCAATCCAGAAGATCATCTAGGTACTGAATTATGCAGTTTGACCGCTACTCCGCTTTGTTCTTCTTAGCCGCTACCTATGAATACCATGTATATTATGTACACAAGCCACTCTGCTCTCAAAATTTACAGCAGTTCCATCATCACCACCACAAAAGTCAGCTGAATCCTGAATCCAATCTGTTCTCCGTCAGACTTTGAGTGAAAAGAGACTCTACTCGGTATCGCGTTGGTTTTCGGAGAATCTCAAGAATGAGTCCTCCTCAAGAATGAATGAGACTTGTATTTTTCCAAACCACTGCCCGAAAGGGGGAGCGGTGACGCCCGGTGACTCGAGCCTACCGCCCTCGCCATCAGGGCAAGCATTGTTTCGGGTCAGGAGGCAGAGGGGGAGGGGAAAAATCGCACTCAAGAGATGCTTTGAATAAGTTCACTACAGGGCTACTCCTGCATTTCTTGAGCAGGCAGCTATATTCCTCTGGTCGAGACTTTTGACGTTGGAAGGGGGGACCTGTCAGCGTTTCGAGAAGGGCACAAGCAGCCGTGAAGCGCGATCCCGAAGGCCATCGGGGCTCCCTCAAGTCTCATAGAATTGCTTTTTATTGATGTCCCTAAATTTGCTCCACGTGAGTGAAGTAGTATACGTAAAGCCATGGATTCCATTTCGGGATCGCATTCTACTCGACTGAAAACCTCTCGGCGTAGCGTTTGTATCTCATGTCGTAGTGTTTTTTCAGAAGGGGGTTCAATGAGACAAGTTGCTTGATCACGCTGTCCAACACGTACGAGCTGAAATCAGAGAGAGAAAAATCTCAAATAAGTCGTGACCGACTCCATCAGACGGAATCGCTTCCGAAGTGCATCATTGCTAGCACTCACGGATAACATCCACACATCGTCAGAACGAAGTCTTACCGAATTTCTTGCACGATAGGGGAGTTGCACATGGGGCAAGTGTCTTTTTTTCGACGCCAACTCCTAATGCACATTTGACAAAAGTTGTGACCACAAGGAAGAGTCACCTAAAATATTGGCGGTATACAGCCATGAGCTATCGAGAGAATCTACGGTAGCGCCATACTCAAGCGACCGAATCACCAAGTGGCGGACGACCCCGTGTAGAACATAATTTTGCAGAGAAGACAGACACAAACGAGGCTTAGAGCAGCTGCTTACCGCACTCATGAATAATTCTGAACAAATCGAACATGTCAGCTCTTCCTCCATGATGCTTTCGACGCGTTTGACTACATCTTGCTGAGAAGTTCCCTCTTGAACCAAGCCGACAGTTGTGCCTTGAAATGAGATGTTAGTCAACTTGAGGATGTTAGCCCAGGAATTCGGTCGAACCCTCGATACAAACTCCGAGATGGGCGACGAAGAGCAAAATATCTCTCACCTTGTAGTATATTCGATGCCGATCGCGAAGATGAGGGAGCCGATGGGACAGGTGGGGAAACTTTCTCCGTATGTGGCTCTTCTTCTGTCGGCAAGATTGGTGTTATATTGCTGTTCCTCAGCAGCAAGGCTCTACATGTTTCAAGGAATAATCTGGCTGGATATATGCTCGGATTTCGCTCAAACTTGATAAAAAATATACCGTTTTCTTCGTTGTTCGTCTCGAGCATAGCTTGCTCTCTCGGTTTTATTTTACCGTGGGAGGTGATCCCGGCGGGTGTGTATATGAGTTTGTTAGCAGCCGTGGACAACCAGAATACCGTGTTCAGCGAGACCTGAATCGAGAGGGAGTTCCGGTGAGTAGCTCGTTGAGTTTCGATGTATAGCCTCGTAAGCCGGACCTGTCGCCTGACCCGGATGCAACCATCGACTCACCAATTTGGCGTCAGGATCGTCTAGGACTTGGATGAATTGGAAAGCCATGTTCGTTCGATGAATCGGTCCCAGTGAGATCAGATCCTGGAAGAAACGATACGGATTAGTCGACAGTCGACATGCAGATATGCGAGTCCGAATATTATTATCAATCAATGACTTAACGGGTGCTTCGTTTCAGGGAGACGTTACGGAACTATCAGAATGCTGGTTACTGATGTCCACGAGAATAGCGGAGAATCCAGATCTCAATTTCGATGCAAATCGAGAATCGATTACTTTCTCTGGAAGAGCTCCAAAGCGGAGCTTTCGAATCCACCCAATCGTCCGATTCTCGTTTATGTACAAATAAAGATTAAACATCCTGACGAGTTTCCTGAAGCCGACTTCTCGCCTTCACAGACACTTGTCCGAAAGGCTGGACGCAACTGAGTGTGTACGTAAATGCTCTCGTGACCAGCCACGAGAGTTACAGGAGGGCTAGCACACAATTAAACCATTCTGGCGATTCCCAATGCGGGTGAGGCGTCAGCCTTTCCGGAGGGCTTCAATCGGACCGCACACTTTAATATTGAGTCTGAGAGATTGGTCCCAAATGAATCCCAGTCGGTGATAGAAAGAAAGCTGTTCTCAATTAGGCTCGATTTGAGCTCGTTTCCTCGAAGTGCGCGGTTAGACTAGACCCTTCGGCATCTCGACCACTTGATCTTCACATTGCTCCGTTTTCAGTTTACGAGAGGGATAAGCGGCCAGCTCACTTGGGAGACTTCGCTCTGAGGTTATGCTCGGAAGCGGTAAAGCCAGCCATAAATGTCCCGGTGGAATGACCTCTCAGACTGAAAGAGTCCACTCGAGCATTCGAAGATGTAGCTGGGACACAGCCTCATCTCGGTTGAAATAGATCCGACTCCGGCAGCTCCCTCACCTCGGAAAATCTGTCAAAAACCGACCATCTTGGAGGGAATGGCTGTTCTGGTCCATTCAAACTAGCCACAGCTTCACCAGACCCATCGCGATACAACTTACCTCGTTCTTCAGTTTGCACGAGTGGGGTGGTTCGATTTTCTTGTAGTTCACGTAAACTCCATTAACCGATTCGAGATCTTTAACAGTCCAAACTCCGGAGCTGCGTCGGAACTCCGCATGTCTGCGAGACACTATCACAGAATGTATCGACACTGAGCAGTTGCCAGATCTGCCCAGAATTTCTTCGTCCAAGTTAAGCGGAATCTCTCGGGTGGACTCTGCCTGCAGCAGCAGGTTAGCCATCACGTTCGGTGGAAGACCGACAACACAACCAACGGGTCAGTTTGCTGGTGATGGAAAACAGAGCTGCCAGAAGCCAAATGACCCGAGGCCCTTACGTGTGTATACGATGTCCAACAACAGCAGCGAACGGAGGAACAACAGGCTAGCAAGTGGTCCTCGCCCCTCTCCGCTTTAGCGCATATTCTCTCACATCACGATTTTTTTCAGCGCTTCCAGTCCTCGTTTTCCTCCAGAACTAGAAGTCTCCGCCGAATTTTTGGGGTTGAGCTGAACAATGTCTTCTTCTGAGGTGGATTGAGAAGCCGAATCTGGAGAAAGCAAGATTCGGGACCCTGCCCATATCCTTCTAAGCGGGGCACCTCTCGGAGCCGATCTGCGTCTGCTCGCACTTTTGTTTTGTTCTCGAGATGTAAATAATGGTCGACGACGACTGTGCAGCCAGCCAGCCACCGACCGCACACTCACGGACCGCTGCTGCTGCAATTGAAGGCTGTCGGAAATTAAAGTGTGAAAATTCGCCTCTCTGGGAAGCTCGTTGAAGTAGTTATGTGCGTGGCGCTCCGTCGGCGTGCCGATCCCGACGCTCCGTCCTCTCGTTACTGATCACATCGCCCTCGGTCAGGATTGCCGGTGGTGACTTGCGCTTCGGCGATTGACACCGTGGTGTGCGGCGACCGAGGTCCCGGCTCGTCACGGGAAGTGATCCACTTCGAGATCATATGTCAGCTTCAATGTCCTCTTCGGTATAGAGGAGCGACGTGCATCTCTAGTATGTGCCCTTCCGCGAGGTGGGTCAGATGTTCGAGATTCGAGGAATGGAGTCAAGCTGATGACATCCTGAACTGACCGGCAACTCGGCAATGCATGAACGTCCGTATATTCTTATTCGTTCTAGGACCCCCCATGGTACAAGTTTCGTGAAGTCCTTGGGTTATTGTCTTCACTGAAGCGTCGCTGTGCTCAACATGGAACGTAAAATCAAATTGAAGACCCTCAACGTGCATATAACATGCCGGATCTGCAAAGGCTACCTCATCGATGCGACGACGGTGACAGAATGTCTGCATACATGTGAGTTTTATGCCGTATTTCAGTTCGGAAATCAAATTCATGCCGTCGAACAGCGCCGCGCCCATGGCGCATGCCGGGAACACGGGACTTCACACTGAAGTATCCTTTATATATTCTTCCAGTTTGCAAAAGCTGTCTTGTGAAACATCTGGAGGAGAAAAACACGTGCCCACAGTGCGAAACGCTCATTCATCAGAGTCATCCCCTCAACTATGTCGCATACGACAGGACGATGCAGGATGTTGTTTACCGATTAGTTCCCGACCTCCAGAAAAGTTAGTTGGCTGCATCCTGCTCGGGCGTTTACCGTCGTGAGAATTTATCGATTCATCTGGGTGAACACAGAAAGTCGTTTTTTCTTTCGATCCGAGATTGGGGAAATTATTTTCAGAGGAGCTCCGTCGAGAACATGATTTCTACAAGAGTAAGGGCCTACCTTTCCCGAGAAACCTCCTCCCGAATCTCCAAGCTCTGCTCAAAGATATTGAGCCGGTGAGTATTCTTCTGCTATCAGACAGTAAAGGCACACTTCCTAATTGTCAGGCCTAGGCCCATTCGGACCACGCGTCGCACGGCAGTCGTCTCCGACTCATCTGTGAACCATGTATGATTTATACAAGCTCGGCAAAACATCGAGAGACAGCTGTCGGCGATAGTCATGGGCCCAGAGATTACATTGTCGGATATCTCCTTTCCCTGATTCCTCGGCGGGAATTTCTAGAGGAATGTCATGTTTTTGCATGTAGGTATTTGCTCCGAAGTTTCTTCTTGAGTCACGATTATAATCGATGAAATTTCCTTAGAACGCGAAGGATGCAGAGCCGCAACCTGGGCCTTCCCATCAGAAAGATTCCGCTGGACGCACTGGCGATGATGAAAATCGGGATGATAATCAAGGAGATTGCCACAGAATGGACGAGCAGGTACGAGCCCTCCGCTCCTTCTCGATGTCAAGAGTCCAAACGAGGATCCCGGCTCCGATCGGGTCTTATGTCGCCTCCATACGCATGCGGGGCGCTCTGCGAACGAGCTCGGAAAAAAATCATCTGGTTTCTTCATTCTTATCTGCAGGTGAACCTCTGTCTGGAATCCGAGAATCCTGCATCGATGTCTCGCTTGGCTCGGAAGTTCGTTCGGGTGTCGGCTCAAGCGACTGTTACGCACTTGAAAAAATTCCTATCTAAGCAAATTTACAACACGACCGCGAAGTATAACGAGGTGAGTACTTTCTCTCGCGATTGAAAATCTCTGTTCTCTCAGGCTCCGAGGCAAAATGCCTGTATCGTCTCTCACAATCTGTCGCCCTTCTCGGACCTTCGCGAGTGAATGATATCGAACACTCATTGGGATTGTTTCTTCGCGTACTTCCCCAGGTGGAAATTCTCTGCAATGAAGAACTTCTTGGGAAGGACCACACGTTGAAGTTTGTGTCGGTGACCCGGTGGAGGTTCAAAGAACCTCCACTGCGTTTGAAGTATCGACCTAAGATGGAGCTGTGAAAGATGCTGAACTCTTTTAGGCTGAAGGACTGTTGATATAGTTTGAGTATGGAATTTGAAAGGAAACTTTATTATTGAATACTTTATTGTAAAAAAACGTGGAATCGTTTATTTATGAGGGACAACCCGAACAGAGGCTGAACAGCATCTACATATGTAATATACTCAATGAACGCTCAAATGCTCCTTGTAGAAATCTGACAATGAATGCATACCGTCATGTGTCACTGGTGCGGAAAACGCTCACGATTGAATCACCAGTTAATAAAGAATCGTAAAATGTTCATCGAATGTTCGTGTCTTATTGAGAACGTATCAATATTATCAATCATCTTGTATTGAGATGCTCGTGTCGAAGATTTTCTTTCTAAGCCGGAGAGGGCCGACCTATCTGGTCTTACAGATCTCGAGACCTCTCGCGGTGGGTTTCAGGGTCTCTTCCTCTAGCGTTCTCGTGTAAGCCTGATGCGGGAGGGAGACGGCTCGGAGCTGGATGAACGGTCCAACTCAGATCCGGTTGCCCGATGGTCGCTCTCTTAAGGATATTTCTTTCATTGAGATCGCGGTCGTCGCCTGATTGCAGGGGCATATAGCGCCGCTCAGATTTCGATCAAGTTTTTCCTCCGCTCTCGACGGGCACGGGAATCTCTAGACAGGCAAAGGGTAAACGATGAGTTTGATCAACGGTAACTTCCTCGAGGGTATTGATTGAAGAGACAACTTGGCCGCCAAAGTTTCCGGAACCAACTCCCCTTCCTTTCGTCTAATTCGATCTCTTGGAAGAGCCAATATTTCCACCAGATACTCACGAGAATATGCTGCGAGTCCCAATCCGGCAGCCGGATGGAATGAGACCCGCGGCCCCATACGTACGTGCTTTCGCCTTCAACGAGCGCAGGAATCATGTGCCGTGGTCGGTGAGGTCATGCAGCGGAGGGATCCTATGCCACCCTGAACAAGAGACTCTGATCTGCGCTCCCTCTTCTAGCGAATTCCCGCTCCACCTACCTCGCTCTATCCGACGATCCTCATTCATAAGGTAGCGAGCAAGACTCTGCTCGATGAGGATTCCGATGGATCGGTCTTGCCAGGGCTCTCTGCAGTTTGCGAATCGAGGCTCGGAGACTTGATCTCACTACTTGACTGTCGGACAAACGGCGAGCTACTCGCCGATGAGGACGGCGCGTTTCCTGCGGCTTTCAGAACGAAACTCGCATTTGATAATCCCCCAATGACTCGCTGGCCCTCTCTCCAATGCACTGCTATCCTGTGCGACGGGCTACGGCCCGACTCGTCCCAAACTCGCTATTTCTCGCAGCGACCTGAATATAAAATTTGTGAATGAGGTTTCGCGTCACCAGCAAGACATGCGCTCCGAGCGCGAATCAAGTCGAGACCTTGCAAGTCACTGGCCTACGAGACTGAGGCAACCCAATCCTCAGAGCCGTTTAAAGCGGAACGAGGAAATAAGTGAGCGGGAACTCAGCTACGGAACGACACGCATTCCGGCCATCTCTTTCCAGTGATGTAGGCGTGAGGACCATTGGAAGCGATGACCAATGAAAGAGGCGTGCGAGGTGCGACCGAGAGACGATGCTTCCGTCGGCCTGACTGCAATAAGATCAATCAGCAGTCAATCAGGTGAGGGGAAGAAAGAATCGGAGTCAGTTTCATGTTCATGTATTTCATACTGAACAAACTTATTGGGACCTAAAAGATTTCCAACGGGAGCCTTCGCTAATCGACTCACTGGATATTTTCTTGTTTCCTAGTCACATCTGTACAGAGTCACCATTCATCATCATCATGATCTCCTCCCGCTTCCCGATTGCTTTAGAAAAGTTTCGCTGCTGCTGTCGCCACTGCTGCTCCTGGCGTTGATTGGTTTCCATAGAAAAGGCATCGATTTTCCTCTGCTGATATCTGTTTTATAGCTCCTCTTGCCCTTACAACCTATATAGCTAATATTATACAATGCTGAGGAGCGTTCAACGAGGTCTTTCGCCTGTCCGCCGCATTCCCTCAAGTGTTCATCAGCCAGTATTATCCTTGTATACTTCAACTTTCCTCTCCGTTCACCGTTCTGCGGGTTTCACCACCCGAAGTATTTTTTTTTCGGTTTTATTTTCCAAGAATTCGTTAACTGTGGAATCTCAATTTTTTCCACCGCGACTTTTCATTTTCCTGCCATTCATCTTGCCTGCCCTCGAAGGGTCGAAACGATGTTTCCTCGTGCGCCTAATTCTTGGCGAGGTCTGTGGAAGAGAGAGAATGCTTGTGAGTCTTACATTCATAACTCACGCCTTCCATGCAACAATCGATTCATCGGTCTTCATCGACTTTCGTGTACTTGTTCGGTCGCGTCTCATTTCATTCAGCATGCAAACAATTCGACTTTTTGACATCGGTCTTCGCGACCCCCGGCGCGATCTCTCTCGTCGCTTGCTTTCAATTTGCAGTAATGCCCACGGGGAAAAGGTTGGAGTCTTTTATTTCTTCTTCTTATAATTCGATTTAGGTTCCGCAGTAATCTTCGTTATATGAGTACTCCAATCCGATGATACACAGGAGCACCGCGAATCCTTCTCGGGTGGTTCTACGATTGCGTCTCTTGCGTAGTCCCACATTATGCATGTATCCTTCTTGTGTTTCTTCTTGTTCTTAAGCTTGACCTGTCGTTTTCTCGCGCGTACATCAAAAGCACACGACTTACCCTGATTGGTAACACCGACTCCGCTGGCACCGGCTGCGGCGTTTTGACCCGTTTGAGAGGAAGACGGGCCGCCGTGCTGTCCCCCTTGAGACGAACCTACGCCAGATGCCCCGCCGGTCTTTTGCTTCAACATCGTCCAGTCGAAAATGTAGTCGTACTGATGGTTGAGTGTGCGGAAGAGGATCCTGAAGAGCTGGCGCAGATACATATAGTCGGGAGCTTCTTCGAAGCGAAGACCTCGGCAATAGTTTAGGTACATAGCAAACTCGGCCGGGTATCCCTGAAAATAAATTCTCGAGTTAAACAGACTGCTGATGCCTCCTTATTCTTCATTCCACCACGGATGTTTGGATCGGTAGGAAATCCTTTCGGTGGGAATAGAAGATCCCGATAGCTGGGCGCCCTGTAGGGCAGAGAGACTCGGTCGGCATCGAGCTCCGGAACTTCGTGACGCTCCGGGAACGCACCTTGGTTAAGAGCTCAATCGGCGTTCCCATCTTCTTTTCGGAGATCTTCTCATATTTTTGTTTCTTCGTCGCCGCTTTCAAGCCTTGCCACGGTAGAGACCCTCTGCAACAGAAGACCCGAATGATTCGGACGAATGCCTGAGGCTTGGGATTACTGAATCCTCTCGCAGGAGATCCCTGAGCGGTCCCGCCGGGGAGACTATCGCAAAGACCCGCAGATTGCGAACCCAGCTGAGCCTACCTGTTGAAGTACATGAGGACGTATCCGAGAGATTCCATGTCGTCCCGCCGGCTCTGCTCTATCCCGAGATGGGCGTTTATCGAGGCGTAACGCGCTGTGCCCGTAAGATTCTTGTCCTCTCTGTTGACGAATAGACAGATCAATGAGCAAAAATTCACAACAAAATCGACCTCTTTTTCGAAACTACTCCCGAGCAACGTCTGAGAGCGTCGGAATCTTCCTATTTGTTCCGCGAAAACGGCGGCGGCCGCGACAGACCTGCCCTGAGAGCTCTCACCTGTAGGGGATGTGCTGCCTGCTTTTGCTGTCCCGGTATTTTTTAGAGAGACCAAAATCTATGAGGAAGAGCTTATTGCAGTGACGCCCGATTCCCATCAGAAAATTATCAGGTTTGATATCTCTGTAATGCAATAAGGAACTTTTAATTCGAGCCCAATGTCATCGGATCGATCATCCAGAATGAGCGAGTAGGAAGAACGGATCTTGGTTCATCTCTGACTTTTACCTGTGGATGAAATTCTTGGAATGGACAAACTCAATGCGTCCAATCATCTGGTCTGCGAGCATCAGCACAGTCTTCATGGTGAAGCGGCGCGAGCAAAAATTAAATAGGTCCTCCAGACTTGGGCCGAGAAGGTCCATAACAAGTAGATTGTATTCCTTTTCACTACCATACCAGCTGCGAAGAGAACGGATAAGGAAATTAGTACACATCGTTATATCTGATGATAAGACTCATGTGAGGATTTCGCGAGGAGCAAATAATGGATTTTCAATTCGACGTACCGGATGTGTGGAATTCCGATGCCCCCCTGGAGGAGCTTATAGAGCTTGGACTCATAGAGCAGCTGTGGGTGACGGGCTTTGATGGACTCTAGCTTGACGGCTACTTCCTAGAATGACAACAAGATTTAGTTTAGAACTTCGATCCGACTTTTTGCACGGAGTCGTAGGCTTCGTTCTCTCGGGTGGCAGTCGGCAGTAAGACTGACAGCGTTCGCTAACGATGAGATTGTAACGAATACACAGAACAAGATGACGCACTGTGATGCACATCAAGTCGTCATCGACGAAGGCATCCATGGGAAAACTCTTGAGAATCGTTGCCGATTCAATCAGGTTATTGTAGCTCTGCAATCATGCTCACAACCGGCGTGGGCGTCGCCTGCCGTGATCGGGTTCTAAATCTGCTTTTGACGAATCCACGGCAACGATGTCCACGCTGACGACAGATTTCACCACGGTTGTCGATGCCAACTGGGCCGCGCCGATATGGATCTAGGCCGATACAGAAACAACGAGGATTTGCGGGAGTACTCTCCGGGAGCTTCGCCATGGAAGAGTATCCTCTCAATTGAAACGCATTTCGGGAGACATTAGCAGAAATGATAGCATAGAATGATTCCACGCCGCGGACTACGTGGGAACCCGATTCTCCCCCGACGGTGAGCCGTGTCCCCACTGCTTGCTTTCTCGTCCAGGAGGATGCACGAGTAAGTTGGAATTAGGGAGTGATTGACCTGGATGAGGGCAGCTGATTATTATCGCTCAAGCTGCTATCCCTTTGTTGTCATCGCCTCGCGACGACTCTCCATGTTAATGACGTCGCTCCACAGTCTCGAACATGTGCTCCATGAGTACTTAGTGAAGAGCAAGTTCTGCATAAACTCGAGGGGCCGATGGCTGCGCAAGGGAGATGCGCGCAACTGAGACGTTAACAACGATCACCATTTATGAAATGCACGAGATCATCCGACGCTGAATCGATATGGGAGCTATGCCCATAAAGCACGCTTTGGACTCAGTCAATTCTTCTCGCGACGGCAACATAAGCTCGAAATATGAGGTGAAATGTTCAGACAGTGCCGTCTTCGATGAGATCTCAAACAAAGCCCCACAGATCTGATTGCGAGATGTAGATGAGTTGCTGCCGAGCACACGAATCGAGAAGGCAGACGCCGTCGAACTGCCGATCGTATGGAGAAATCGAGAGAGATTCGTCCTAATTTTCGAGCACAAGAAAATGTGTTGTCCAACCGAGCGCGAGAACAGCCATAGTCTTGTTGGGACACTTGCGAAAGAAGAGAAGATTTGGCTGCCAATGCCTTGTTTCGAGAAAACAGCGTCAGTCTCAAGGATGCTGCCGCCGTCTCATTACGAAATATTCAGAAACTGCATCTCTTCGTCGTTGTTGTTATTAGCATCAGCGTTGTTGTACTGGCCTCACATCACGTCGACGGGTTATTCGGGAGCCTGTATAACGCATGTCGATGTGGGTGTATATCGTTGGGACAAATATTCGTGTCCGCCCGTCCATAGCTTGGGCTGGCCGACTTGCTTCGGCACGAGCTGCGATCTCCTGGCCTGAACGATCCCAAACACTGGAGTTCAACGCGGAGATCTCGTTCGGTTCCCCCAAACACTGTCCATCAGACACGCAAGTTCCCCGGAACTATTGAGAATGACGGCAGGGAGGGCAGCACCAGCTCCAGCAAGATCAGAAGGAGCCCCCAATGGCGACGGTGCAACAACAATGACTTCGCCATTTTCCCATGAGAGCAGCTCGAATTTCGTCGCAGCCATCGACGCCAGCAGCGTCACTGCACTTCTTACTGACTCATCGGACCGTTTGAACTCTAAAAGTGGGAAAACTCATATCCAGGACGATGATATACAACTCAAGGCCTAACAGCAGCAACTAGCTGGCCGCTGGCGCTGTGTTGTAGCCATGGCCTTCGAGCTGCGGAAGCACTGAATTATTAACCTATAACAGAACGAGCCAACGAGCATGCATTTCGAGTGGTCCGATTCTGAGACGCGGCCCCTACGCTGCGGAGCTCGTGACACAAGCTGACTGACCTCTCCATTGGTGATGTTGAGTCCGAGGTAAATGTCCCCGAAAGATCCGCTCCCGATTTTTCGGACGAGGCGATACTTCCCACCGACGATGAACTCTATTCTGCCCGTGGTGGAGCTTGCTGTGGCCGACATCTCGGCACTAGACGGACGGAGTCTCCGGCCGAAAATCACCTGGCGTTCTTTGCGAGGTAATGACTGAGAGCGACGCACGACTAACGCACGATTCAGTCTACGGTCACCAACACCACAGCAGCAGCACTAGCAGCAGCTTTGATTGCCTGATTGCAGAACGACGGTAGCGCCACCTCCAGCTCGGCAGATCCAAGGGCGAATGTAACGCTGATGGGAGCGCGCGCTGATTCGAACTTCAATTTTTGGCGGTTCTCCGACTTCCTCCTGGCTGACGAGACGATGCGGGTAGAGCGTAAGGACGTAGAAACCGGGACGTTCGAACGAGGGTATATCGGACGTCGGTGTTTCCAGTGAGACCGTGAAGTGCAGATGCTGAGTGAATCGAATGAGTTTCCGATTCGATCTTAAATACGAACTTGCGTCGCGGCAGCAATGGAGAGAGCCCAACCCTCTCTTGGGCTGATACGGAGCTCTGAAACAAGGGGCGCAACGGTATTTCCTCTGCACCGCGTCAGCGAGTTTGATTGTCGCCCACGAGAGAGGGGGTGTGTAGAGTCCAAATCTCGGACGGCGCCTCGCACAATCGTTTTCAAAAAAGAGCTAGGTAGGGGCTGAAAGTTGCCACCCGCCAGCATCGCGGGGTGAATCTACGAATTCCACGAATCGCAGCTCGTCGTGAGAATCGCCCCGAGGACATGCAAAAGAGATTTTTCTCCTATTCATGATACTGCTCGTGAATAAAATTCGATGTTCCAGGCCGCTTATACTGCTCGCCAACCTGTGGTCTCTATTGCACCCAATCTGTGAATCGCTGGTAATCTCTGTCAATCCGTGCGGCAATCATGTCCTGGAGATTGTACGGGAGGAAACTACAGATGAGCTCGGTATCCAGATTCCTTGCTGCTCGGAGGGAAAGCCATCTCCCGTTGAGACGTCGAGGGATCCCCGGGAAGCATTGCAGGATTTGCGCGACGTCGCGACGCCGACGTGGGCACAGGCGACCCCGATGGGTCGATGAGCTATTCGATCAAAGACCCGCGGCGCGGGCACAACCGGGGGTCTATTGAGCGTGGACCGTGTCCTCCCAGAAATCGCGACTCGGTGAAAGCATACTTTGTTGCGAAAATTCGCCAGGGTTCCGCGAAAAAGACACAGGATCTCGGCTCAGACATAACTGTCCAATTGAAGTCACCGGAGTCCCACAAGAGCGAAACGAGATCGATGGACCCTTTTGAGATTCGGGTTCCGATCCGGATCAGCGCCCGATCTCGTTATCCAATACCCCAGCGAGCAAAGTAATCTAAAATGACTTTCACGAGCGGCCTCCGCCCTTGGTGAAATCCGGTGAGTCCGAACCCGGGCGAATGTACATACAACCCGACCCCGCGGCTAAAGGCGTCGAAGGCGCTAATGGAGTTCGAATCGACGAGGGCGCCGCATCGAATCACTCCTCTGCTAGGCGAACGAATGCTCACACGAATCGGCACATCGCGAATCGCGAGCGCTGATGATTTCGACGAGGTTCGCGCCGACCTCCGAAGCCGAGTCACAGATTCTCAGCAAGAGAAGCGTTTCTGCCAGCGAAGTCGATTCCACAGGGAGAGCTTCCGTGGTCAGAAGGACCTGGGAGTGTTTCCTTCCTTATCTTTGGGTTTCTCATCACTATCAAGGCTGAGCACTCAAGCTTCCGAGGTAGTGAGCTCTGACCACTCGCCGCCGGGACAAGCGGTCGCTTGGCGGGGGTGTCCACTGGGTTATTGAACTTGAATGCTTCGCTGAGTAACTCGTGACAAGGATTATCGTGATCGGGAAGAATAGTTTCTGTTCCGGTTTTTATCATCATGAGTATTAGCGATCAACGGCCACGGCGCACCCCGGGGGATTCCGCACATCGATTTTGTCGTGGACTCCTCCCGATCCGAGATATCACCTGAGGGCTCGCGAATGAGGCAGTACGGCGCAGGCCTGTTCCCGAAGTTTTCCGACGACGGGTGAAGGAAGCGTCTTGAGGGATGAATCTGCTCAAATGTTGGTCAGACGCCGATCGGAGATGGCTGCCATTTCTGAAAGCATGGGGCTCCAGTACTCCGTCGAGTACTCATCCCTCCTGACATCTCATTGTTCAAGACAGGAGTCGAACCGACTGAGTTTCGAATAACCCAGCCGATGGAAATCGGTGGCTTTCATCTCGATTCGGTTCTGGGAATCTTTCGTCGACAATGACTCGCGAAGCCAGTCCCGACGGCGTACGTGGTGACCCAAGATCCGGTGTGACATATCAATAAAACCATCATTTCCGCCTTAGTAAAGAAAAGCTTCACAAGAGAGGCAGAGTCTCAACCCTCACTCGAGCATGGAAGTTGAATGGGTAGTCACACATGGAAAGAGCATTTTCCATTTCCTTGACGCATCGTACATTAGAAATCTTCCCGGTCACGACGGCAGGGGACTCAGACTTATCCGTCTTCACAGCTGCTCGCCACTGTCATGGAGAACGCACGTCTCCAAGGAAAATCGATTCCCTGCCAGCGCCCCTGATCAACTTCTTAGAGAGACTGCAAGCCGAAGCCTGGCCTCGCTCGCCGGTGGATCGAATGCACTGGCGGAGTTCGATGCACATTCGGAGCGAGCAAGTCAGATGAAAGAAGTTCCCCCAGGAACTCATACTCGACTCGACATTGCGGCGGGTATTGTCAACGGATCGGGCAAGGATCAGCATTCTCCAATCATCATCCATAATTCGATTCCTCCTCGAATTCTATCGGACAGGGAGACCCTCATGAATCAAGACGGGCATATCATTGGACGGAGATCCGGCTGGAGCAATGTTTTGAACAATCGCTGCCGCCGAATTAATTTGTTCAAGCGAGATGAGTTCAGAATCGAGATCTTTCCCACTTTCCCAGAGTGTGGGAATACCCAAACTGTGACTCCATCTCGAGATTGATGCTTGTCCGGGCCATGCCGATACAGTACCCAGCAGTAGACACTGTAATTTTCAGATGTAAAGGATCGCTTCCACTTTTCTCCCGTATGGGTACGGACGATCAAGAATTCAGATGTCAACCGGTGATTCTGTCTCACGCTCACGACCAGGGTGGGAATGGTTCGGATTGGTATGTATCGGACCGGCTTCTCACGGGCAATGGAAGCTTCCGAGCGTGGGTACAGCCATCGGGTTCGGGGCGCTCCTGAAGTACTCCGGGAAGTTGCGCTGGAGCGCTGATTCTCAGTCAGCGGCGTATCCGCGGCGCTATCCTCAGCTTCCCGATGAGTTCGAAGGACAACTCGAACTCGAGTCAGGCTTGCGTCAGCACGTCTCGCGTCCACCTCCACAGGCTAGCTCGCATAGGCCCCTTACTACGCAGACCCCTGGAGAACTGTGGAGGAAAGTTCGGGCAATCATTGCGCCGAGGGGGAGGGGTTAGCTCCTAGGACATCTACCTGAAGCAGACTGATCCCTCCCAGGTGATCCATTTCGGAGATGAGAATAGGGTCATCATCGATCCACTCAAGCTGGTAGAAGAGTCAACAGCACGATTGTTTCTCAACAGCCTGGTTCATGTGCTCTCGAACTCTCGGCTCCTTCTCAAGCAGGTCGGAGACCCTTCCGCACCCGCCAAGAAAATTCGCGGGCCAGCTTCCCGCGGATGCATCCCTGAACCAAACCGAGTCGAATTCTCTCATTCTCAGATGGCGTTGTCGAACTCGGAAACGCGAAAAAAACTAGAATAATTCACGTTGAGCCTCCTTATTGCAGGAGGGTTTGCTCCGCATTCGTACATGGCGAGTTCGGGGCGACCCCGGAGCGCCTCTGAGATTCTCTCCTAATCAAGAGGCTGCAGCTCGAAGTGCTCACGGTTCTGATGCTGCGCCTCGCAATCGAAGATCGAGGAATGCGACTCTGGTCGACCGCCGGATCTATTGGAGCCCTAGAATTACCCGCGGGACCATCCAATGATGGAGTATGGGGGGAATGGGACCATGAGGAACGACGCATTTTCGCAATCAACTTTCATCGTGTTAAATTACATGATATGTACAGATATGAACAGGAGAGAGCTGAGGAGTCTCAGCTGCACTCAGTCAACGGCCTTCTGCCGCCAGTCTAAAAACTCAGCGAATTCCGTTCCATCGTCAGCGTCCATCGGAACTGCTCCTGCGCTGACCTCCACTCTCTTTATGTGCTCTCTACGAATTTCAAGTTCCCGGATTTTCTCCCATTTCGAGAGCATTTCGTCGGCTTCGTGCAATTCGCGCTCGCGCATGTCGTTCCCTTCGTCGATCTCCACGACCTATAAATGGATGAAATTGCACCTTAGAATCTCAAGCGCATCGAAACGCCCGCTGACAATTGTTGGAGATTGATCGAATGAGAAACCGCAAGCTCACCTGTTCACTCTTGGAGCCCTCTTCTCGGAGCTCTTTCTGGAACATTTCCCATTCAACCTCTCGAGGGTCTTTGTATTCGATGTTTCGAGCTTTGGCGTCCAATTTGGGGTCATCGAAGAATCCTTCCGGTAGAACTGATCCGTCTTCAGACAGCTTTGCCGATTTCGTATCAGGCTGCTCCTCAGGAGGAGAAGCGGGTCGTTTCAGCGTTTCAGCTTTTTCGGTGGGCTTGACCACTTCTCCATCGCTTTGTGACGGGGAAGCTTTGAGAGGGTTCTTCAGAATCGATTTCGGCGCCACTTTCGGAGGTTCAGGTACTTTCTTCACAATCGCTTCGTACTTATTTGGCGCCGGCGCCGGCATGGACTTGGCTGTTTTCTGAGCGCTGACATTGCGTTTGTGCTGCGCGCTGATCTGGTGGGCTGACCAATTTTTGATAGAGACTCCAGGGCACACTGTGCACGTGATTCTCCCGCTCGACGAGACTTTCGCGTAGGGACTCTGCTGCTCTGATCCAGAGCTCATCATTTTCTCCCGCATCAAACGCCGGAGATCCTCTTGGTTCCCAGCCATCGTTTCGGAGAAATGCACGAATTTTTGAGTAGGCTCTCGAGCTGCCCCTGGAAGTCGATTCCGCTGTCCGCTACCGATACAAGGGAGTCATCAATGAAGCATTTTTCCTGGGACGACAATCAATTCGATCGGTTGCTCACTGATCGACTAGTTGTAGGCGATGCACCGGACTCTCTCCGCGATAACACGCTGCATTCGATTTCGTACGAGAGCACTCGATGACAGAATTCTTGTCCCCCCGGTATCCCGCGGAATGATTGCCGCAGAGAATCGTACAATTCACCTTCTGACTTCACGCACTTTTTTCAAAGATGTTTCGGCGCGACAAGTTCGGGCCGCCAGGTCCGGATGATGTCCACTAGATGCCCCGCGATTCAAGGGAATGAGCGGCTCTCTCCGATCTTCCCACCTGGGGCAATTTCCAGAGACTCCTCCAAGAATTTCGAGAGCTACGGCAGCCGGAACCAGTTGACGTCGTTTGGGCACCCTCCAAACAGCGGATTCGGTTCAGCGCTCTTCGGAAGCCGTGCTCGAGCGGAGGGTATATTGCACGTCGATGTTTCCAGTGAGACCGTGAAGTGCAGATGCTGAGTGGATCGAATGTGTTTCCGATTCTATCTTAAATACGAAATTGCGCCGCGGCAGCAATGGAGGGAGCCCAACCCTCTCTTCGGCTGATACGGAGCTCTGAAACAAGGGGCGCAACGGTACCTCCTCTGCGGACGGCGCGGCGCCTCGCAGAATCGTTTTCGAAAAAGAGCTAGGTAGGGGCCGAAAGTTGCCACCCGCCAGCATCGCGGGGTGAATCTACGAATTTCACGAATCGCACGTCGCCGTGAGAATCGCCCCGAGGACGTGCAAGAGAGATTTTTCTCCCATTCATTATACTGCTCGTAAATAGAATTTTATGTTGCAGGCCGCTCATACTGCTCGCCAATCTGTGGTCTCTATTGCGACCAATCTGTGAGTCGCTGGTAATCTCTGTCAATCATGTCCTGGAGATTGAATGTAACGGAACTACAGATAGGCTTGGTATTCAGATTCCTTGCTGCTCGGAGGGGAAGCCATCTCCCTTTGAGGCGTCAAGGGATCCCCGGGAAGCATTGCATGTGCGACTTTTCGCCGAGCCTGGTCGGTGCTCTCTCGCAGGCCGTCGATCAGGCATCCTGTATCGCACAGGAGGTTCCCGCAAGCTCCGTCTTTGTCTATGCTCAGACTGCAAGGGTCGGTCTCCAGCTCGAACCAAGACGCTCGCGTTCCATCCTCCCGAGTACACTCACAGGGACGACCCTTGAAATATCTAGTCGAGATTCAAAGATCGGTTTATTGTCTCATGTCTTCGTCCCTAAAATTATTATCACTTCTGTGAGTCACTCTCCGCGGAGTGATCGTTGCCCCGGGGCTCAGAGCGGAAATCTTATCTCAGACTAAGATGGAAGTTTCAGATCACTATTATCTAGGCGGTGGTACCGCTGAGCTCCGGTGTTCCTTTCTTCGCGATACCGGACATCAGCTTCTTCAGTTCGGCGATGGATCTGCCGGGATTCAAACCCTACAGACAGAAAAATATTCCGATTATCGAGTCGTCGTTGCGAGGCATACCATAAAACCATTTGTTCACCGATTGTGAACAAATCTGATCTGACCAGCGATAACTCAATATTCTTTGGGGGGCATCCAAACCTTGGGACACGTCTTTGTACAGTTCATGATGGTGTGACATCTGTAGACGCTGAATGGATCCTGGAGCCGTTTGAGGCGCTCCGCGGTATTTTCATCCCTCGAATCGATGACCCAGCGATAGGCCTGCATGAGAACAGCCGGACCCAGATACTTGTCAGGGTTCCACCAGTAAGACGGGCACGATGTCGAGCAACAAGCGCACAGGATGCACTCGTATAGGCCGTCGAGCTTGGAGCGGTCCTTGAATGATTCGGAAACATTTCAGCGAGAAGATCTCAGTCCCTGTTCTCGCTCGAGCAGCGAGGAAATTGTTGGATCATACATATCTTCATGGGTCGAAATTCCGTCACTCAGACCTTGACACTCTGCAGGTTCTGCTTCTCCCCGTAATCGACCTGGGTTTTCTTCTGAAGCCAGGGCTCAATGGAGCGATATTGCGCATAGAAGAGGGACATGTCCGGCACCAGATCCTTGACGACGTACCTTGAATACCAGGACGCGCTATTTGAAAAGTCCGGACCGTCGTATCTCCAGCAATCTTTCAGTGTCCGCGCAGTATATGACTCACATGTGGGGTAGAGGATAGATCTTCAGATCGGCGGGATCTTTATCGATCTTACAGATGCATGCCAGAGTATTAGTTCCGCCGATGTTCATGGCACACGAACCACAGATGCCTATAGAATTGACAGTAAGGTCAATTTTGAATGCCGCTGCCTGAATATAATTTTTCCGAAATTCCGAATTCATGACGTTCGATTAGACACCTTCACGGCAGCTCCTGCGGAACGTCAATGTGGGGTCGATTTCGTTCTTGATTTTGATGAGAGCATCCAGAACCATGGGTCCGCATTGGTTCAGATCCACGGTGTATGTTTGCATCCGAGGTTTATCCCCCTTCTTCTCAGGGTCGAAGCGGTAGACGGTGAAGGTTTTCTTCAACTCGGGTTTCTCCTGTACCGCAGCGGCGGCCGCAGCCCGGGTAACGGCCCCCGTCTGGAGAGAATCGAACGCTCATCGTCTCCAATACACTTTATCAAAGTGAATACCGACCACCCTAGGAGTCTCTCGCGTACTCTGAAGCCGTATGTTTCGATTTTGGTACTATGCAGCATCTACCTCCGCTACTGCGCGTCAGAAGGGTTAATCGAGATCTTACCGTGACATTCCTCGTCTGTGAAGCACCGAGTTGAATTGAACGCAACATGAGCGCCATTCCGTCGGGTAACGAAGCGTTTGCGTTCGAGTTCAGGAAGAAAGATTTCGAGTGCTAGCACCGAAACCAAAATACTGACCCCGTCAAGAGACACCAAAGTCAAAACCTGTCGTCTGCGTGTTTGTAAACAAGCGCCAGACCCTTGCGCGACTGTGTTTCTCGAGCACGGCTTCCGAAGAGCTCTGAGCCGAATCCGCTTTTTGGAGAGCGCCCTCGCGACGTCGACTGGTTCTGGCTGTCGCAGTCCTCGAAATTCCTGGGGGAGTCTCTGAAAATTGCCCCAGGGAGAGAGCCGCTCATTCCCTAGAATCGCGAGGCATCTAGTCTGGACATCATCCGGACCTGGCGGCCCGAATTTGTCAGACCGAAACATCTTCAAAAAAACGTGCGTGAAATTAGAAGGTGAGTCGTACGAATCTCTGCGGCAATCATCCCGCGGGATCCCGGGGGGACAAGAGTTCTGTCGGTAGAGATGCGTCATCGAGTGGTCACGCGCGAAATCGGATGCAGCGTATTGTCGCGGTGAGGGTCCGGTGCATGGCCTACAACTAGTCGATCAGTGAGCAACCGATCGAATTGATTGTCGTCCCAGGAAAAATGCTTCATCGATGACTCCCTTGTATCGGTAGTGGACAGCGGAATCGACTTCCAGGGGCAGCTCGAGAGCATACTCGAAAATTCGTGCATTTCTCCGGAACGATGGCTGGGAACCAAGAGGATCTCCGGCGTTTGATGCGGGAGAAAATGATGAGCTCTGGATCAGAGCAGCAGAGTCCCTTCGCGAAAATCTCGTCCAGCGGGAGAATCACGTGCACAGTGTGCCCTGGAGTCTCCATCAAAAATTGGTCAACCCACCAGATCAGCGCGCAGCATAAACGCAATGTCAGCGCTCAGAAAACAGCCAAGTCCATGCCGCCGCCGGCACCGAAGAAGTACGAAGCGATTGTGAAGAAAGTTCCTGAACCTCCGAAAGTGGCGCCGAAATCGATTCTGAAGAACCCTCTCAAAGCTTCCCCGTCACAAAGCGATGGAGAAGTGGTCAAGCCCACCGAACAAGCCGAAACGCTAAAACGACCCGCTTCTCCCCCCGAGGAGCAGCCCGATGCGAAATCGGCGAAGCTGTCTGAAGACGGATCAGTTCTACCGGAAGGATTCTTCGATGACCCCAAATTGGACGCCAAAGCTCGAAACATCGAGTACAAAGACCCTCAAGAGGTCGAATGGGAAATGTTCCAGAAAGAACTCCGAGAAGAGGGCTCCAAGAGTGAACAGGTGAGCTTGCGGTTTCTCCTTCGATCATCCTCCAACAATTGTCAGCGGGCCTTTCGATGCGCTTGAGATTCTAAGGTGCAATTTCATCCATTTATAGGTCGTGGAGATCGACGAAGAAAACGACATGCGCGAACGTGAACTCCACGAAGCTGACGAAATGATCTCGAAATGGGAAAAAATCCGGGAACTTGAAATTCGCAAAGAGCACATGAAGAGAGTGGAGGTCAGCGACGGAGCCGCTCCGATGGACGCTGACGATGAAGCGGAATTCGCTGAGTTCTTAGACTGGCGGCAGAAGGCCGTTGACTGAGTGCAGCTATGTCTCTTCAGCTCTCTCCTGTGTATATCTGTACATATCATGTAATTTAACACGATGAAAGTTGATTGCGAGAATGCGTCGTTCCTCATGGTCCTATTCCCCCAATACTTCATCATTGGATGGTCCCGCGGGTGGTTCTAGGGCTCCAATAAATCCGGCGGTCGACCAGAGACGCATTCCTCGATCTTTGATTGTAAGGCGCAGCATCAAACCGTGAGCAGTTCGAGCTGCAGCCTCTTAATTAGAAGTGAATCTCAGAGGCGCTCCGGTGTCGCCCCGAATTCGCCGTGTACGAACGAGGAGCAAACTCTCCTGCAATATGGAGGCTCAGCGTAAATTATTCTAGTTTCTTTTTGCGTTTCCGAGTTCGATGACGCCATCTGAGAATTAGAGAAATCGAAATGAGAGAATCGGTCGGGTTCAGGGGTGCACCCGCGGGTAGCCGGCCCGCGAATTTCCTTGACGGGTGTTGAAGGGTCCCCGACCTTCTTGAGAAGGAGCCGAAAGTTTGAGAGCACATGAACTTGGCGGTAATCGGCTGCTGAGTGGTGTCGATCCTATTTGGCAGCGGGTTATTTTTCGGTTCTCTCCGGACTTTGGAAGTACCGCTACGAGTGGATTCAGAAAAGTACAACTCCGGGACGCAGTCCAACCGCGAGGTATCGATAGAGCTGGAGCACTGCTAATCTCGTCGATTATCGGCATGAGCTACAGTCAGTAGTCGAGTCAGCAGTCGCCACTCATTCAGTGGACCCATGCCGCCGGTCGAACCTCCGCATCTAGCGAAAGAAATTTCGAATCATCTGTCACTGTCTTTTCAAATCCCGCGTCTCTGGGAAGTGACTTGGCACGCGATAGCAGTCGATTGTGAAAGCTTCGACTTTTCATCGATCGGTTTCCGTTCGATCGTCCGAAACGCGCGTCGCGGCGCCGGCGTCCGTTTATGTCTACGATAGTTGCGAGGATTCCCGGAGAAATTGTCTGAGATTGCTTGAAACAGGCCCCAGACTGATGCAGCTTGTCAAGTGAGTCTAGGTTCGGTACGGGAAGCGCGACACTCCTAATCCATCAGGGATATCGAATCAGGAATTCGTGTCCACGGCCTGATTGTGCTCCTCTTTCCTCTCCGTTTCGGAAGTCCATCGATAGCTGAGTATCCGATCGGTCGCTCTAACTGCGTGGAGCTTGAGCACGGAAGCCCCGAGGCGGTCTTTCCCTACGGTGGCAGGCCAAGAGAATCGACAGCACATCGTTTCTATTGACGATTTCTTGTCTCCCTCAGATTCTCGTCGGGGCGATCGAGCTTCCCAGCGAACCGCACAAAGTCACCGATGAAATCCTCAGTCCTCGTCATCGGTGCCGGTGCTGCAGGTCTCTCGGCCGCCAGGAAACTCATACGCGAAGGGATTCACAACGTTAGAGTCTACGAGGCTCGCGATCGAATAGGAGGGAGGATATTCACCAAACAAGAGAACATCAATTGTAGGGACCAAGGACGTGCTCCGTGGATTTGATGCAGCGAATTCGAAACGTTTCGGGGATCTCGACTGATTCACTCGATTCATTGCAGTGCCAATATTAGAATTCGGAGCCCAATGGATTCACGGTCAGCTCGGAAATCCCGTTTTCGAGATATGCGAGAGCGAAGGCTTGCTCAGTGATGTGCAGGATCCACTTTACGCCAGGTTCCACCATTGGCAACAACTTGATGAAACTCAGAACGGTTCGATCCTCGCGGTGATTTCCCCGATCCGATAACATGAATTCTCGTGATTAGATTTCACCTAAGCATATATGTATTGATGCCTCGCCTTCCAGAACTCGCTCGTGAAGTCGCGGTTTACTGCGAGGCTGCCATCGAAGAGATCGGAGCGAAGTCTGCGGAGGTGAGGCAAAGAATCGAAGTTTCAAACGAAAGGTACTTCTCGGAACGATCACTCAACTCAGGGCTTAACACACTTGCAGAGCTCCCAGACATCCCGAGAACTCGATGCTCGCTCTCTATATGATTTTCTAGAGAAGAGAATCGAGAGTGACTGGCTCAGCAAAGAGACAGATGAAGGGAGGAAGAAGGTGAGACGACTTCCTGATTTACGTATCTTACGATATCAGTTGATCAGGTATCTGGAATGACCGATCAGAGAAGTTTCGAGCCAGATCCTCCGGTCGACTCTGCTCAGGGCACATAGAATCAGTCTGATGTACAACTATACGCGCCTTTTCCCACAGACGATCCGTTCCGTTTTCGACTGGGTTGTGCGATATGAGAACGAAATCAATGGAGGCGAAGCTCGAAGAGTATCCGCCAAATATTTCGGTAAAATCACTAGCGCCTCGTCCCTGATCAGTATGGTGTCCGTGACCAACCTGCGCCCCTTACGTGAAAGTGGTATGCCTTCATTTCCAGGCGAATATGAGGAGCTCGGAGGCGACCCCGTTACCGCCCTGGGCCCGCGCGGATACAAAGGCTTCCTCTCCGTTCTCTCAGAGGGTATTCCAGAGTCAAAAATTAACCTCGGAGTCGAAGTTACGAAAATTGACTACTCAACGCCAGCGGCCAAAGTAATTTACTCGTGCGGCCAGTGGCTCCGCGTTTCCTCCTGATTCGGAATTCGACGAGTATGAGCCAGGTCCGACTTCTCCCTCCGGTTAGCATTTCTCTTTTTGTCGGCAGGTCACATCGACCCTCGGCGAGCAAACCTTCGATTTCGTGATATGTACAATTCCGCTCGGTGTTTTGAAGCATCGGGAGTCTGAATTGTTCTCGCCGAAACTCCCCGAAGAGAAGCGTCAAACGATCGGAGCGCTTGGGTTCGGGGTGTGCAACAAAATCTACCTCGAGTTCGACAGCAAGCATGTGTTCTGGGAGAACGGCGACTCTTTTCAAATACTCTGGAAGGACGAGGTAGCAGAATCGGAGAGGAGTTGGTAAGTCAGAGTACGCTGTTACTGGACTGCCGACTCGGCCTGAGGTGGGGTTTTCCGATAGATGTAATCGTGATCGGAGTCTGGAAAGCGTGGAAATTGCTTGTTCAACTCCGAAGTCAACTCCGTCAGTGTGTGCCCTGATAAGTGAGTGTTTCGAAATTTCAGGATTCACTGTTTGAGTCGTTTTAATTCAGTAGAACGACACCCGAATGTTTTAGTAGCGTGGGCTGTCGGGGAGAGCTCTTGTTCGATGGAAGACGACTCCGATGAGGAAGTGATCCAGAAGTGCCATGAAGTTCTCAGCATGGTCCTTGGGAGAAGAGCGCCGGCTCCAGTCGCTGTTCAGAGGTCAGAAATGTGTCTGATCGGGAGGGCATCCCCCGCCCGGGGCAAAAATAAATATCTCCCATTGATATCCATTCTGGGGAAAGATGAACTACCGATGAGGTTTCCGTATTTCCATTGCAGATCCAGCTGGTATTCGGATCCGTTCTCAAGGGGCTCTTACTCTTACATTTCCACCGCCTGTGATGAAGATGGCGCGCACCCCTTGTTACCGTCCACTTTAGCGAAACCCCTCGAAGCCGCAGGGAAACCGGTTGTCTGTTTTGCGGGAGAAGCAACTTCGGAAAAGCATTTCTCGACGGTTCACGGTGCTTTTGAGAGCGGCCAACGAGAAGCGGAACGTATCCTGAAGTACATTCAGGAGCATCCGAGCAGTGTCCGGTCGTCTACGTGTAAGTGAACACGGAAGGACCTCGCATTGCATGTTGAGCAATCTCGAAACGCTCGTAGATTGCGATTGTTTCTCGGCTGATTCAAATAAAACTGGCTAGTTACCCCTCGCATGTTTTTTCAATTTCCTCCTTACGCTCGCTAACTCCCTCCAGAAGGCGCTCCGATTCTTCTAACACTCTGTGATTGGATTCAATCCTCTCGCGCGAGTATTCGTCTAGGAATCGAGAACGTGGAGCGACTCCCCACCGCCTCAATAAGATTCCGAACAATGCCCTCGAGGAACCCTGGGCCAGAGGAATGATCATGAGATCTCTCGACTGGAAAGTACTTGTTGGAAGATCATTTTCTTAATTTCCTCCGAATTCGAGGCCTCTCTCCTCAGCAGCGCCGGTTGGTCTCATCGGGATTCCCGCTCTTCTCTTGAGTGATGTCGATAGGCGATCAGATAGGCGCGTGCGTCTCCGCACCAAAACAAATAGAATCTTCCGATAACACACAGACGCTGTTTCTACGAGCAGGGATGAGATAGTCCCGATCGAAAGGTGAACCGCTGAGAAGGTGCCTGTCGAGACATTGGAAAATTTGCATGAGGATGTTCATCTACAAGCAACAGACGTGAGGCTCATGGCGACATTCGGTAAATAATCGCGAGGACTCTTCAATCTCGGTCCTCGTGTTGTGTCTGATGTTGCCGCTGTCAAGCAAGAGCGAGCCTCTTCGCCTTGTGCAATTTTCTTCGATTCGGAAACTTGTTCCTTGAACAAGGGAGCCCTCTCGAGCCAGCAGATGCTGCTAAAACCGGGGAATCTCGCGCGCCCTGTTCCGAAAGAGTGATGTTTGGGCTGAATGAACGCGTGACCCATTCAACGGGCAACTCTGACCTGATTCCATCGCCTGTCCAGAGAGCTGAGACGTGTATCTCTCGAATCCATATATCCATATCCCTTGCCCCATACGCGGGGCAATACGTGTGATCGGATTTCGCCGTTTGAGATGCTCGTCTTCTCTATTCGGCATTCTGCGGAGCTTCCGTCGTTTCCACGAGCTATGAGCCTAGGCGTAGACACAGCTTCCTCTGGCCGCCAGTCCCCCGAAAGGGAACTCATCCGGAGAATCGAGCGGGCAGCGCTCCTCGTGGTCTAGTCCAGAATCGCTGAAGGAGCAGGAAGCAGAGGGTGGGTTATATCTTGCTGAGTTACGGACTTCGAAAACATGCGTGGCGGGAATGCTCCGAAAGTGACAAGGATTCCTCTCAGCTCGAGACGATGCCACTAGGGAACAAAGGTCGATGACTCCGGTCAGCTCAATTATTGCTTCCCAAGAGTGGAGCTCGGCCCCCGCGTGGGCGAGTCGGAAAACAATAATTCTGATCGATACCGGGTTGAATTCCCCGAGCAGTCGGAGCTCTTCGAGACCTATCGAGACGCAGCCCAGCGTCCTGAAGAACGAGTTCGCAAAAGAACGAGAATCCTGTTGAGAGGGGAAGTCGGTCAGGGAGGGGATGCGCATCCGCGAAACCAGGGGTAGTCCATCAGAGTCGCGTCGGGGAACACAATATTCCTCTCAGAGCCCACCTCGGTTTCCGAAAGAGAAGAAACAGCTCGACGCTGTAGAACAAGGTCGAGGGCTTCCGGCTTATTCCGTAAAGGTGCATGATGTCAATCAATGACAGCGCGGTCCTGTACGCAGTCTCGATTCCTGCAGGCCTTCACAGCTCGAGGAGAGGGTGTTCTGGATCCTCGAGTATGGAGAAGGATACAGAGCTCTCTCACAGGAATCGTCGAGAAGTTTTCTGAGAGCGTGTTCGAGTTTCAGATAGGAGCGCGGAGCCCGGGTCGGGAGCATCGACCGAAGTGCTCGAGAAACTCGGTCCAGAGTCTTGTCATCTCCGAAGCCACCACGACGTTATCATCATCGGCGCGGGAGCGGCGGGCCTAGGCGCAGCCTTGCGACTCAACGAAGCGGGCATCGGATTCAAAGTTTTGGAAGCGCACAGCGAGGCAGGTGGCCGTATCCGAACGCATCGTGCAGGTGAGTATTGAAAACCTAGGAAAACTCCGTGAGAAAAAAGCCGAAATGTTCTCTCTGCTGAGAATTTCCCCGCAGCTGAATCCAGTTTTTGCAGGGGACGCCCGTCTGGAACTCGGAGCTCAGTGGGTGCATGGCGAGGAAGATAATGTTCTCCATGAGTACTGTCTGAGGAAAGACCTGCTGACGGACTCGAAAACCGACCGCTCCTTCGAAGGCAAAGGTACGCGGTTCCGAGCTTCTCTGGGCTCCGGTTCCGATTGATCCTCTGTGTGAATCCATACAGGAATCGATGGACGGAGGAACTTCAGATTTCGGAATTACAGGCATATTCCTTCTCCCGGACGGAAATGCGGTGCTGGAAGAAACAATCCAGACCGCAGCCGGGATTCTCCGCGATGTACAGGATGAAGTGTTCTCAATCGGCGACTCGGCCGTTAAGCAAAGTGAGTCAAGACTGATGATCGGGGAACCGGGAAACCTTCGTCAGTCGGAAGGCCACAGCGAGATCCGTTGCTTCATGCTCCGATCACCCATCGGCTCTCATTGATTCCATCTCGGCATTTCCAGGCGAAACCGTCAAGTTTAAATCGATGGGCGACTTGTATCGAACCCGCTTCGAAGAAAGTAGACCAAGGGGGCCTGACTTCGATTCTGTCATGAGAGCCGTAATGGATTGGTTCACCAAATTCGAGATCGTCGACAATGCTTGCAAAGACATCGACAAGCTATCTATAAGGTACGGGGTTACTTTCCGAGAATCGATCTGAGAGCTACTATATGGGAAAAAACACGGTATCCCACAATCATCTTTGGGGCACCCTCAACGAACTGACCGAACATGATTACGCCTATGCGGAATTTCAAACATGCGAGAGCAGATGTTTCGACGACACATCTGGCGCGCAGACATTCGCCCAGAAGCCTGGCGACGTGGATCATATGTTTACACAGAAAGCATGGCTAGTTGTGCCGAGTCCGTCTGATATACCATGAATGAAAGTCACCACCAGAATGTTCCGAAAGCTCCGTGATTTGTAATGTGGTTCGACTTTGCAGAGGATTCGGCCATTACAAGGAATGCTCGGGAAATTATTACGTTAATTTCAAAAATGGTTTCGATTCCTTCACGAGAGCGATTCTACAGTCCCTTCCTGGAGACAGCGTACGATTATCGACCCCCGTGAATCACGTCGAGTGGTCGGAGAAGTCCAAGGTCAGTCTCCAGAATCAGGGCTCTACGGAGTCAATTACCTCGATTTGGACATCCCAGTCCGTCGCTCCTTAGAGGTTTATGCTCGAATTCTATCTTCTCACAGATTCTCAATGTTGTCACGGAGAAGGGAGAGCTTCTCACCTGCAACCACACCATCCTCACGCCCTCGATCCGAGTCCTCCGAGATTTCGACGTCCGACCTGCGCTGCCATCGTATAAACTAGAGGTGAGAGCAACAATGTTCCCGGAGCGCGTGGCGGGAACTCCTGAGACATAGAGACTCATGAAGCTCATGGGACACAGGCTGAATGATCACGAAATGAGGTAGGGAAAAGAACGCAGAGGCTAATCCGGACGCATCCCTTCCGGGATTTCTAGGCTATCGACTGCTTCGGTTTCGACACGATTGACAAAATTTTTCTCTACTGGGAAAAGCCATTCTGGGCCCCGGACACGCTAGGATTACAGATCCTTTGGCCAGAATACGACGATGAGTTCTTCAAGGTTAGTTGAGAGAGGGGAGAAACCGGCCGTCAAGCACACAGGGAGCATCTGGGACCTGGGAGAGCCTTTCGAGCTCGAACGCGCATCATCTGCACAGAAGTGGCTCATACGTGAGCATCGGAATATCCTGATGAAATGCGAGTCGGTCGGGGGCCAGGAAAACCTTCAATTAAGTGTTTTCTGATACCCTAATCCAGGTTCACGGAGAGTTCCTCCGAGGCATTTACGGTTTCGAAAAAGTGAATCACACAGACAACTATCTCCTCACTTGGATAGGCGGAAGCGAAGCCGAAGCGATGGAGGCGCTCCCGGATGAAATCGTAATAGATGGTTGCTACGCTCTCTTGAAGAGGTACGAATACGATCTCAAGCGTGACTGCCGGTGATTTGCAAGGAATGAATAGAGGTCTCCGAGTCTAATTCGTTCTCCTCGTAGATTCGCTGGACAAGTCTTCGATGTGTCACGACCCTCTAAAGCTATCCGGTCGTCCTGGAGCTCGAACCCCTACGTCAAGGGCGCCTACAGCCACAGGGTATTGAGCTTCGATGATGTGCTCGATCCTGTCGAAAAACTCCAGAGACCCATCTGCGAGTCATCGGATGGGGTAATTATCTAGCTAAGAGCGCCTTCGTTGATCTTCTGTCTGAGGCCTAATGAAGCTCGAGCGATTCTACGCCGTGGATGTCGCGGTACCAGAGAACGTGTTACCATATCCGAGTCCCTCTTATTTCCAGACCCCACTGCTACTTTTCGCCGGAGAAGCGACCGATCCGAATTATTTTTCGACGGTACATGGGGCTCTTCGGTCAGGATATCGGGAAGCTCAACGCATAATAGATCATCATGAGAATAGGTGAAGCAAGGTGTTCGAGCTAATAAATTCGAGATATGACTCAGGTTCAGAAACCTCGCAATTGGCCTCGCCCCATATCCGCATCCTCCTCTGTTCTGACCCGATCCCCGATCCCCTACGGACCGGGATATTGTCCTTCGGGATTGATCTCGCGCATGAGAGCGTCTCTGAGTCGCTTCACGTCGAGCAGCTCGAGCCCCGCAGAACTTTAGAGAGTTCGACCACGGGGCTCAAGACTGGCTCTCTCAAGTCAAGCACAATTATTGCTTGAGAGTACTCGGGTCAATCGAGTACCTGAACTATGGAGGTCGGGTCTTCCGTTCTGGTTTCAGCATGCAGCGCGGGAAAACAAGTGAAAGGCAAAAAACGAACGATTCGTTCGTGCGGCCGCCGTGGATTTCGTTCACGGATCGCCGGACGTCGAAATCAGAGATTAGAATCGCAGCCGAGAAACATTAGCGCGGGACTCTCAGTCAGTTCTTGTTTTGATGCTGTTTGCAGACTTTTGAGTAGAAGTCTTACCCTCCGCGACGGCCGAGCTGCCCTTCCCTTGCCCAGTCCTGAGCGGTTTCCGTAGCAACCCGCGTGAATCACGAAGTTACTGTAGCAGCCAACAACAGGCAGAGGGCTCGTCTGGTGGTAGTTCGACAGCGGCTGGAGCTCCTTGAACACGAAAGGGACCTAGCCTCAGAACGAGATGGAGGAAATCGAGCTCGCTCTGAGTCCTACCTCCCAATGAACTATTCCATGAGTGTTCTCTTGTGTGGTGTTCGTTTTGTGACCGCTCCGAAGTGATTTTCTGGTAGGGCGAACGGCAGCACATGGAAGAGAGGAGCAGCCGGCGTTCCACTTGTTGACAATTCCGGATTTTCCAATGCTTCGCTGTCGTTCGATCCGGTGGACAACATCCGGAAGCAAACGGAAACGACGGTGAGTCTGCCTCCGGAGGTCATATCCAGACAAGAATTCATCAACCTACATTTCCATGAGCTTCCCTCAACCTTCGCGCTGATCGCGTAATGAAGCTTGGGGACTTGATCTGTCATCTGCTCCGAAGCATGCCTGTGCGTGGAGTCGCGTCTCCCGCGTAGATCGAAATCATATTCGCTACGTAGTTGAGCGCTCCGTACCGATCGGAGCTCGATTCGTCTCGACGCGAGCTCTCAGTCGGTAGTATCCCTCGATCATTGAGCTGTCTCTTACTCGCGCGGAGCGTCGCCCTTCACGCGGATTTGTACCGCGGATTTTCGCCGTGCGTCTGATACTGTAGAGAAAAGTTGGATGACCGAACTCCTTCGCGCCACTCAGATCTCGAATCGTCAGACGGTTTCCCTGAATTTCACCTGTCAGCATCTCGGTCAAGGTTGAGACGGCGCTGACATGCGCCACTACGACGATAAATCGAGCGCGCGATCCGGTGCTTAGCATGAGCCGACGCGGAGCCGGAACACCTCTTGACTGTTCTAGGTCGATGATGTGCCGATGATTTGTTACCGTGTCAGGAGTCGGTAGCGGTTTTTAGTTGCCTCTGGGGCGGCGCGAATCGCGGATTAACGCAGAAGGAACGCAAGCCGCCACGCCGCGCCGCCAGAAAGATTCTCAACGCACCGTCTTGGTCCTACGTCCGTTTTCGAGTGATTGATTCAGTTGATGAAAATATTCATTGAATACTTGCATACCGACGCAGATTGTCCCGCGAAAGCTACGGTTCTCCGTCCGTATCTTCGTCCGAAACTTGGATCGTCGGACGGGAATCCTGAAGTTCGACTCCCGATGCGAAAAGTCGGTTACGATCAGAGCGTTTCGAGGAACTGCCAGAATCGAGGAAAACTACGCTCTTCGAGCCACGATGACCTCCGCGTTACGCCCGTCTTGTTTCTTCCCCCTGTGATTTTTCGTTTGTTTCATCGAGGGATAATGCTTGTACGTCGCTGCTTTCCATCTTGCCGTGCGAGAATGTTGAGTGGGGCATAAAGATGCTCACGTTTCTTTGTTGAATATATCGCGGCCGAATTCCGATGGGCTACTACTCGCCAGTGATGCTGCCCGTCGGGACAGAATTGCCGCATCCAGAACTTTCACACAGAAGTACGCGCTGTGTTATGCTCCGGAGCCTTGGCGAAACATCCACGGTTCGATTTTGCTTTTCGATGCTCAGGGTCAAGGCGGCAGGGTGTTCGATTCGACGCTGAGTGGCTAGGCAGCAGCTCAGCTTCCGCTGATGTGGATCTACGGGCGGAGACGGGCTTTGTTTTGACTGAGCTTCACTTCTCGTGGGAATTACTTCACGCCGATATTTCTGGTTAACAATGCGGGGATGGCAGCGGGAAAATACGTCGACGATCCCAATCTGTGAGTAATAACAACGTATTCGATGATCGTCACCAAGAATTCATCGGGGAAAAATCACCAGAGGGCTATTATATCCTAATCGCGAGAAGCATAGATCGAGTTTTGATTTGTTGAATGTGAGGTCCGAATCGCCTGCATAATTCATTTTATTCGGCTCAGTCAAGCACGACGAGGACGAATATCGATGAAAGTGCGGTGAGCCATTTGGTGACTTGATTCAATCCGAGTCCCCCATTCGAAGCCGTCACGTCAAGGGGTCTTTTCGCTGTGGGCGGCGAAGATTTTCGAGATACCGAAGCCTCGAAACATGTAGGCATGCTCGATTCAGAAACTACGCTTGGCGGCATTCCTGTCAAAGTGAGCTGATCGATTTAGTATTGTAGAAATCCCGGCGATTCGCTCCTCCGCCTGCGGACTCGATGATGACTCTTACTGTCCCCAACCATCCTACGGAAATTCTGAGAAAGCTCTCCGTCGTTCCCGCCTGCCCGCTGAGAGAAGAGTCTGCCTGTGAGCTCACAGGATGTTCCTCGCCCTGAAATTCCCGTAGAAACGTTCATCGGGTAGGGACAGGTCGGAATTCCGTGAGTCTGAATACAAAAGTCGAATTCGTACCGAAAGCAAAGCTCCCAGAAGACAAAACAGAAGACTCGCCCTCGGAGCGGGAACGTTAGGACGATGACAAGTGGAAAACGTCTCGTAGCAGCGATACGAACGATGGCGGCGGCAGCCGGAGTCGAATCGAGACTCTTGAAGTGAAATCCCGCATTGTCATTGCTGAAAATGTTTGCGGCTCGCCTTGTCTGGATTCAATCGAGCGCAGATTCTCTCCGGTGCAGAGAATGATTCTGCGGTTCCAGCGTTTACTCTCCCCGAATGTATTTCCGCGTTCCTTCTACATGTTTCCATCAGAGCTGTCTACTCGACGCTGATCGCTAGCTTCGCAGACTCTGATTATGCACACTGTTGGGCGCAATCCGCGCTCACGTCCGCGCGGGCCGAGAGCGGGATAACTGGCACTTTTCGCGTCACCGTCCGCTGAAGCGACACCATCAGGTTATTCGGAAAAAAACGCATCCGATTCCCGGAGTCCAGAAAAATTTATCTTGTTCCTCGTTGAGAACGCCAGGACAGTCCAAGTCGTGAAGCTCGGCATGGAAACGCGGATCAGAATCCGAGTGGGTTCACGCTCCGGGTGCGAACGGAATCTCTGGCGTAACATTGCGTGTGACCGATTGAGGGGTCTCGTGGATCGTTTTGGGGTTAACTCGCTGAGGTAGCGAAGGCACAGTGAACGAACGCATCGGGAACCCAGATCACGTACTGCAGTTTCAAAAAGCGACCCATGAGTCACAGGCTTGACGTGCCACAGGTTGGTCTCATGCAACGGAAAAGCATGTTCGAATGTACGTGTGAAGGAGCATATCTCCGACGGCTCCCGAAGATCGCAGAGGCGATTTTCCGCTTCTCCCTGCCACAACAAAAGGAAGTAGTATACGCTAGTATCTGGATCCGGACATGCCCGTCGCGGCGCCGCCGCGAACGTCTGTTATTGATTCCGCTGTTTGGATACACCTCTGAGCGATCCCACGTAGAGAGATGACATCCGTTCAAAAATATATACCGAAGCTTGAATAATTGAGTCGTCCTATGGTGAGCCCGGCGGAAGTCGAGGATCCCCTTCGCGACCGCAGCGATCCGCTCCGTAAGGCTACGTAAACAGAAAGAAGATTTAGTAGGATTTTCGGAAAGATAAAAGCCGACCGAGTACTATGCGTCAACCTTGAAGGTGGCTCACAGCGACGGCCGTCTACCTAGAGCCTCGACGGCGATGGCAGCGGCAGCCACGGAATCGGCGACCACACCACGATCGCTACGAGCTCAACGACGACAATAGGATCAAGCAAGCCTTGCGAAACGTCATCTCACAACTTCTCTCTCACTTATTTGCAGGATGTTATTCCGGCAGGCCCAGGATTCCTAAGGCAACTACGACCGGCTCAGCAGACGTTTAGTGAGAGACTTTTAGTCAGATCGTACTAGCAGCAGCGAGGTGTCGCTCTCGTGAAAATTCCCCGGGACATTCCCAAGAGTCCTTGGAGACATCACGCCTCCGTGCCCTGACGATCACCTGGTTTCGCCGAGAAGGGTCCTCCAGGGCTATGATCCAAGCCCTCGAAATACATCGTTCACCTCAATGGTCTACGGGATTCCAAGACAGACCAGCCGGGATATTCCCAACGATCTTCAAAACGATTCGAACGGCGGTACCTCCAGCGGAGAGTCACAGGGAGTTTCGTATCACAAGAAAAGTCAGCAGGTACGTGGTCTGCTCAACAGTCATTTGAATTTCATTCGACATCCCTCGAATCCCTGTCACTCGGGAAAGTTTACGAGGCAAATCCACGTCAGGGAGAAGAAGTTTCTCGCTGCGGCGAACGGGATTGTACGGCTTGAGGGAGCGCTCGAGAGAGCTCTCAATCGCTCGTTGATCTGCGAATATGCAATTCTCTACCACAGGTGTCTACTTCGGTTCGACAAGCCGCCGGTGTTGACCTCGACGGGAAAACTTCGGCAAAGTCCTGGACGGAAAGACTTCAAACGGCCTTGGGATTGCGAGACAAGGAAATACCCCCGGGTGAGTTTCCAAAACGTCACAAAAATCAAGCTCGCATGAGTCCCATGAATCGATGGGTCAAACCGTCGCACTTCATCTCCTGCGCAGAAGCGGAACTCGGATTCCAATGAGCTCGTAAGTTTCGGGAATGCTTGAGATATTTTCCCAAAACTTCGCGATCGGAGTCCTTCGGATCCGAGCTTCCGCAACGTCGTAGGTTAGCACGAGATTCAGTTCCACCGGAACTGAACACTCTACAGCAAGGCTGCCTGGGAGCGCACACTGTGACAGCGTTCTATGGAAGAACTCGTTCCGCGATTACGTTGTCGCCGTCCGTGATGGATGATCGACGCGAATCGAGTTCCTTGTCTTCCGGAGAATCCCTCCACCAGAGCTGAATATTTCTGCAGCTATTCTCAATAGAGCAACTCCTCTCGAGACGTTCTTAGGGTTTAGAAATTTCTGCGATGCAAACCGTGAACGGCTCGTGTAGTCAGCACCCGACTCGCTCAGAAGCTATCACGGTGGAAGTTGACCAGCGGATATTTAGCTATAAAAATGATCTCAAGGCGGCCGAGTTGTTTTGCCTATTGTTTGCCGCGTAAGGAGGACCGTCCGTTCATTCTGTCGGAAAATACGGGCATCGATCCAGTTCTCAGGAATTCGTCAGCTCGAGCCACAGTCGCCGTCGCTGCGCGGACAACATCGTAAAGGTCACGCCGTATCGATCTTTTCGGCGGGTTGCTGAGCACTTTCGACTCATGGAGAAGGGGGTCAGCATGTTCAATCGAGTGGACTCCTCCACAACAGGGCACATATCTATTCCAGGATCCTTTGGGACGGTGGTCCTGTGATCCCTGATTTAGCGTATTCCCTCATATATTCCTAAGGACAATTGGTCGGTGACTGAAATCAGGTCCATGGTGGCCTGTGGACACACCACTCCGTCTCTCTTGCGCCGATGAAATTAACTCTCGTTGGCCGAAAAATCAAAGATCACTACCAGAGCCGAGTAGCACTTCTTCTTGCCGATGCCTAGAAACGAAGCACGAATGACCGCACGATCGACTGTCCGGTACGAACGAAGGGTCATACCTACCACAGGAATGCGTGCGTCCTCGATAAACGCATCGACGCACCCTTCGTATATTCCTCGTATACCCCTCGCGAGGCCTACCACCTCTCCGGAATGCCAGTACGGATCACTGCCTGCCACTGCGAAGACCACGGATCTCGAAGCGAGCGAGGATCCTTGCATGATGAAATATTTCCCGAATAATCAAGCTCAACGCAACCATCTACACAGACCGATTGAATCTCCGGTGGCCTCGCCAACTATGCCTCCCCACCTTGAGGTTCCCTCGGATTCGAACCACAATCAACTCATTCATGATATCATCGAGGATCGAGAGTCTAGGAACCGAAAGCCGGACATCAATTTCGAGAGAATGTCGTACCTGAGTCTAAAAACTACAACGACGGACGAGAGCTCCCGACGATCTTCGTTGCTCAGCGTCGTCAATGCCACAGCCAAGTTGTTCACGGGCAAGAAAGGTTAGAATCGATGCTCGCGTCTTCCGTATGAAGCAAGCGGATGAACTTCACGCCCTAGAGCAGCCCTAAGCTGGATGAGCTCGCATGCTGGCGAAGAGTGAGGTAAGGACCGGTCATCAATCTGAGGAATAAATGTGATATGGCGTCACCGTCGAGTCCACGCCGTCTTGACGCGTACTGACGTGTGACGAGCGCGGCGCTGGTCTACTCACCGAGCGTAGCAGCTATCGCAAGCCACGTCGGGAACCGTCTCCGGTGAGCCTGGATCTATCGACGACGCCGCCGACGTTCGGGTAGCCTCAAGTTATTCTAGGTCGCGCTCCTCCAACAACGTGCCTCGACTTGCATCGAATTAAAGTAATCCTTGTTCAAAATCATTCCGCTCGAACCGCTGCAGGCCTTCGAGTAGCCGAAGCCGATCGATTTAATTCTACGCCTCTGGGACGAGAAACTCGTCCTCGATCCCCATCACGCGTCGAAATCGAAACTAGTATCTGAGCCAGCATATATAAGTATCTCAAGCGTCTGAAACGACTCCGCATTCGTCTCCAGACTGATGAGGTATTTACCTAATAGGATATTTCCGCCCGGGAGTTTTAATAATTAAATATTGGTTGATCGAATGCTCCCCGGACTCCAATGAGCCCGGAGGCCAACCCCAAGATGATTGGTCCACCGGATCCAGCGAAGAGTCTGTGATTTTTTCGGTCTTGCGAAACATTTTCCATGGTCGAACTTGACACATGCCACTCTATACGGTGGTTGACATTGGAACAACGGGCGTTCTCTGGCCGCACCCAAGACACGCCGCGCCGCCCTACAGGTGGCACTGACGACTTTAATCTTGGGGTTCCATTACCTAATGGACAGCTAGCCAGCATTCAAACTTCAACACAAACCACGATCCGGAAGCTGTTCAGAAACCGAGTTCCCCCCGCGGGATTAGTCCACGAGCGGAAGGGGAATCGCGGTACATCGTTCACAGGCGTACAGTGAACGCTTCCCGAGAGCTGTCCCTTCACTCGGATCATCCGCTCGCTTACAGTCTCCCGAGCCTTCGGGCCAGTGCATCGTTCGAGGTGCGGACCTATCGGATCGGCGATAGGGACCGCTTGGGCGGGGCGCGGAGCACCAGAGGACCCGTGGACTGAAGACCAGTGAGATTCCGAATGTTGAGCCGAGCTTACCCGCGGGGAAGCGTGGAGACGAACCGTGAGGGTCGATGTATCTGTGGACTTCCTCGAATAGTTCCAGCTTCGGAGAATCGGTCCAGCTCCAGATGCTCGGATGTCGGAATGGCGGACCTCATTCTTGGAGACTTGCTGCGCGAGTTACGGGTCGCCATGAATGATGAAGCTGGATTCACCCTAATAGAGGGACGGGGTGAGATAACAATCGGATAATGTTTGGGCGAAGACAATGAAACCACCATTTCCGACTGTACAGAGACCGCCACGCGGCTTCTGTTAGTCTCCACCCAGCTCGTTATGGATAGCATTCGTCCTTGTAGAGGTTTTTGCCGCCGGAAGTCGAACAGGAAGCTCAGGGCGAGGTCCTCTCTCGTGTGGTCGGTGGGCTCGTCGGTCGCTCGTTCCTCTCGGCCGTCAAGTCCGTCTTCGGCCTGGTCTTCCTGCCCCGAACTCAGTCACCTCCGCGCGAAGTCTGGCCTACCAAGGACGAATAACGATTGTTAACTTCGAATGTCTTCTGGGCTTCTGATACCGATCCAAATAAGCGATGCTGAAGCCTCGGGTAGTCGCGTGACGGTAAGTCACGCTGCTCCTGGAATGGGAGGAGGGGTGGAGGAAACGAGTCTGCAAGCAGAAAGAGAATCAGGGACGAGGCTTGATCGTAGACAAGACGCTCAAGTTCCGCTCAGCTCCCGGACCATTCCAATCGCGACGATTTTTGTGTTCCGCTCCCGGTGACCTTAATTTTTGGAATCGAAAGGGCAGTCTCTCAACGCGAAAATTCCCTTCAAACAACGGGCTTTATCCGAAAGCTGCATATTCGACTCGACCAAGCGGGATATAGTCGAAGCTAGGAGGGGTTCTCACACTCTCGAGCGATACGCTCGAAACGTGTCGATCGCTGCTGGCTGTTTTGACAAACGTGGTTATCGTGACGCGATGCACTCTGTGCCTCGGCGCTAGAACCGCGGATTCGATCGAGCGAGCCTCGGCGACACTTTCTGACCGTCTCATTGTTTGTGTTCGCCATGATGCTATTATATAATATGTCGAGCAACCGTTTTACAGTCGGGTGTGGCTTCGGCACGGAACTCAGGAGCCATAAATTCCAGGAACGAGTTGAAGACGACGACCTTGTGCATTGTATTCTCACGAAATAGCGATCCGCAGCGATGCCGGAGTCGACTCGAGCTTGTACCATGTAATCTGTCCCAGCTAATAATAATATCGGGACTTGCACAGCAGCTGTTCGACTGTTCGGTCTCGGCTGTTGCAGCGCCTCCTGGACTGCCATTGTTTCAAATGACAGTTTACCGAACGGCCTTGGTCGGACAACGTTCGGCGTTTCTCTTGCCTGGTGCGTCGAACTGATTCTGTTTTTTTTCCTTTCGCGAATAAAAAAGACTCGGAACAATCGTTGAGGTCACATTCCAATGATTTCTCGAAATCTTTCGGCTTCGCTGTGACCGTTCCTACGCGGCCAGAGTCTCCTATGATTTTTATGCAGATTTTCTGCATGAATCACGCGGCTTGCTCGGAGAACCACCCGAGTCGGATTAGGTAAGCCTTCGATCGCTCATCTGACCAGGCGACCGAATTTCGTGCTTGATCGGGTCACTCAATAGCCTTGAAGGCTCATTACATGTACAATGGGGCGCGAGACGTATTCATCTTTCAAGCGTCCGTTATAAATGTGAAGATAGCAAGTTTCTTAATGAAATGGCGGTATCGATCGACTGCCGCGGTATAGGTGCTGGGCGCTTGCCGTAGCGGTGGCAAACATGTACATATCTGAATTTCATATTTGATCGATGAATTTCGTGCTCGGCCTGCTTTCTGGCCGTAATTCATTTCCGATCTCAGACTGAATTCCTCGGTGGGAATTCCTTTCATCTCATACGGCTGCTTCTACGACCCTTAGAGAACATGAGCATTCCTGCCTTTCTGTCGAGGAAATAATCAGCTCCCCATTTGTGCATATCAATGCGAACTCACAAGGGAGGTACCAGAACTGCCCCCTCGCGATTTCGACGAGATAGTGCGGGATTTGAAGGTCGACTCGAGTCTAGAAAAACGCCATATGTCCTTGCGGCAGGTGGGCCCTTTTGAACGAATAACTTCATTTTGGGTTTCCCATTGGAAATAGCCTATTTTCCACAGATTTTTTCTTAAAGCTGCCTCAAAACTCAAACCGCTGTCATGGAAGCTGGATGATGAGCTCGCTCAGAGCCGCGATAGGCCCCGCCGTTTGAATTCGGTGCCATTTTCGTCATTCAC